AAAAAAAAAAAAAAAAAAAAAAAAAAAAAAAGAGAGAGAGAGAGAGAGAGAAAGATAACCGGCTGCTAACATGGCTCAACTGTAGTCCCGTCTTCTCCAGTTGCTCCTCTCTCTGATCCTACTCTACTTTTCACCAATGCGGGGATGAACCAATTCAAGTCCATTTTCCTAGGTACTGTGGACCCCCATTCGGACTTTGCAAATTTGAAAAGTGCAGTGAACTCTCAGAAGGTACGATTACATCCTACAGCAGTCTCGAATGTAGAGCTGACCAAAACTTTAGTGTATCCGTGCAGGTGGAAAGCACAATGTAAGACTTTGAAGCATAGAGCTCTTGCTACCAACACTAACCGTACTAGGACCTGGACGATGTTGGAAAGGATAGTTATCATCATGTTAGTTCAGAATTAGGTTTGCTTTAAAACGATATTGATGAGCTAATTGCACACATGAAACAGACTTTCTTCGAAATGCTGGGCAACTGGAGCTTCGGTGATTATTTCAAAAAGGAAGCAATTTGCTATACTTGGGAACTCCTGATAAAGGTATATGGCTTGGATCCTGACCGCTTGTACGTGACCTACTTCGAGGGTAACGAAGCTGGCGGGCTAGACCCAGACCTGGAATCGAAGGAATTGTGGCGCTCTGTCGGAGTCCGCGATGACCATATCCTGCCTGGAAACATGAAGGACAACTTCTGGGAAATGGGTGACCAAGGCCCTTGTGGACCATGCAGTGAGATCCATTACGATCGGGTGGGCGGACGAAATGCCGCCTATCTTGTCAATCAAGATGACCCGGACGTGCTTGAAATCTGGAATAATGTTTTCATCCAGTACAACCGTGAGCCTGATCGGTCTTTGAGGCCCCTTCCGAACAAGCATGTCGACACAGGAATGGGATTCGAAAGACTCGTGTCAGTACTTCAGGATAAATCGTCAAACTACGACACCGATGTTTTCTCTCCCCTGTTCCAGGCTATTCGTGACATAACCGGAGCTCGGGAGTATCGAGGATTGTTTGGCACAGATGATCCTGATGGTATTGATACGGCCTATCGAGTAGTAGCAGACCATGTCCGAACCCTATCATTTGCGATTGCAGACGGTGTGACACCAAACAACGAAGGTCGTGGATACGTCGTACGTCGTATACTGCGCAGAGGTGCTCGCTATGCCCGGAAATACTTCAGTGTTGAAATTGGAAATTTCTTTTCCCGAATTGTACCCACTGCAGTCAACCAGCTGGGCGAGATGTTTCCTGAACTGAGAAAGAAACAAAATGATGTCATGGAGATACTGGATGAAGAAGAAATTTCCTTTGCGAAGACGCTTGACCGTGGCGAGCGACAGTTCGAACATTATGCCCAGCAAGCTAAAGTGAAAGGCGTTGACAAACTTCATGGCGCCGATGTTTGGAGATTGTACGACACGTTTGGATTCCCTGTCGATTTGACTCGGCTGATGGCCGAAGAAAGAGGGCTACAGATAGACGACCTAGAATTCGAGGAAGCGCGCCTGAAGGCCAGGGAAGCAAGCAAGGGTCAAAAGAAATCTGCGTCAGATGCCGTTAAGCTTGATGTCCATGATCTGGGAAAGTTGGAGAAAATGCCCGACGTCCAGAAGACAGATGATTCCGCCAAGTTTGAAAAAGGCAATATTATTGCCCAGGTCAAGGCGATTTATCATGGTAAACTGTTTCATTCGTCGACCGAAGACATACCTGACGGAGAACAACTCGGGGTTATTCTTGATCGCACCAACTTCTATGCCGAGCAGGGTGGCCAGGAAAATGACACAGGCAAAATAATAATTGATGGAAAAGCAGAGCTCGAAGTTGGCGATGTTCAGCTGTACGCTGGCTACGTTCTCCACACGGGTTTCATCAAATATGGTTCGTTCGCCGTTGGCAACGAGGTCATTTGCGAATACGACGAATTAAGACGATGGCCGATCAGGAACAACCATACAGGGACACATATCCTTAACTTTGCTTTAAGAGCAGTCCTTGGTGATGGTGTTGAACAGAAAGGCTCTTTGGTTGCCGCTGAAAAAATGAGGTTTGATTTCTCGCATAAATCAGCTATATCAGATAAGGAGTTGGAAAAGATCGAGGAAAGATCCACTGAATATATTCGACAGAATTGTGCTGTATATGCGAAAGAGGTTCCTCTTGCAACTGCACGGCAAATATCGGGTGTCCGAGCAGTCTTTGGGGAGACATACCCTGACCCTGTCCGCGTGGTTTCCGTCGGAGTAGAGGTGGAAGAACTACTCGATAATATTAAGGACCCACGTTGGGAGGAGGTTAGCATCGAATTTTGCGGTGGTACCCACGCTCAGAAAACAGGCGATATCAAGGACCTGGTTGTTTTGGAAGAGAGCGGCATCGCCAAAGGCATTCGCAGAATCATCGCCGTTACTGGGGAGGATGCTCATGAAGTACAAAGGGTGGCAAAGAGCTTTGAGGGACGCCTTGATCGTTTGGAGGCGATGCCTTTGGGTCCCATGAAGGAGCAAGAGGCAAAACAGATCCAGGTAGAGCTTAATCAGCTCTCAATATCCGCTGTCCAGAAATCGAGACTCCGGGAACGCTTTGCGAAGTTGAACAAGCAGGTTGTTGATGGACAGAAGGCGCAACAAAAACTTGAGGCCAAGAAGGCACTTGAGACGATAATCACCTACTTTCAAGAGCCTGAAAACCAAGACAAATCTTGGCTTGTTGCCAACCTGCCAATATCAGCGAATGGAAAGGCTGTTAGCGAATCACTCAACTACGTCAAGTCGAAACTACAGGGCAAGACGATCTATCTTTTGGCAGCAGATCCCCAACAAGGACGTGTTGCTCACGGCTGCCATGTATCCAAGGTAGGCTTTGGTTATTCCTAGTTTATGACATTTTTCTAATACGAAATATAGGAGATGAGTGATAAAGGTGCTTCTGCAAATGACTGGTCAGCTGTTGTTTCGAATGTCGTGGGAGGAAAAGCTGGTGGAAAGGGATCCACCTCGATTGGAAATGGTGTTAACCCTGACAAAGTCGATGAGGCCGTTGCGCTGGCGTCTGCTTATTTGAGCAAATTTCAGTTATAGGCACTACTCTGTAGGTAGTGCGCCTTTCTTTCTTTCTTTCTTTCTTCCCCCTTCTCTTTCTTTTTCTCTTTTCTTTCCTATCTCGTCTTGTTGATTTGGCTGGTGTCCGTGTCTTTTCGAAGAGACTCACGGTCACCACAACTATGGAGATTTCTCAAGCATGTACTGCATTTTTGTAGTATAGAAACATCAACTCGATTATTACATTTCTCCACACTGCACCACGGCCACATCCTGATTAGGTTTGTCTCTAGTTGTGCGGGTATTCTCAACCATCCGCACAATATCCATTCCGTCAACGACTTGACCAAAGACCACGTGCTTGTTGTCCAAGAAAGGAGCCGGCGTTGTTGTTATAAAAAATTGACAGCCATTTGTATTTGGACCAGAATTCTAGAAACCGGTCAGTGTTTGCCAGAGGAAGGAACTGCTAAACTTACAGCCATGCTCAACAGACCACCACGGTCGTGCCTCAAGGCGAAATTCTCGTCTGGGAATTTTGAGGTGCCATAGATAGAACGAGATCCTGTACCATCACCGTTGACAAAGTCCCCCCCTTGTATCATAAAATCCTTGATCTTCCCATCAAATTGAGTGATTAGTCCATATCGTAACGGGGCATTTGAGTTTGAGGATGTATCTCGTCACGTACTACTCGATGAAATTTGCTATTCTTATAGCCCTGCGATCGGCCTTGAATATCTTTGCTTTCACCTGTGCAGAATTGACGAAAGTTTTCCGCTGTTCGTGGTGTTACATCTGCAAACAGTTCCATTTTAACACGCCCTAGAGGCTCTCCTGCAATACCGGTGTCCTTCAGCCCATGTCTCGATTAATTATGATGCGCCCAATGCATATGGATGGCATTAAATTGGTATAGTCTTCCAAATGCTGTTTTCTTAACATCGAAAGCTTAAAGAACCGAGACTCACCTCCAAGTGACATGTCAAAGAAAACAATGGGGTTCAGGTGTTCATGCATATTTGAAAGAGTTGTGTTGTTGTTCATTTTGGATTGTTATCTAGGATGTAGATGTATTGGTTGAAGTTGCAAGAGAAACTTTACCCCAGGGGTGTACTAACTAACAATACTGTACAGAATAATACCTATTTGAACACTACTACAAGTACCGTGCCAACATCCACATTCTGAGAAATAAGCCCAGTCAATAATATCAATTTGTACTGGCTTTCAAGAAACTTCTCCTACCCTTTGTTTAACCATGTACGGACTTTAGTCACCCTAGAGATACTCACTATAGTTGATCCTCTGATGTGTCGGTGTAATGAGATTCTTAACATCATATGTAAAAGTGGATATACCTATTGTCAATGGGAAGTACCCCTGTAAAGTACTTGTCAATTGCTGTTGAATTTCTGTCAGACAACCATTAGAATGTAATGCTCTCGTACTGTAAGTTACGTGAGATGTGATGGATCGACCCGTGACTTCGGTACCTCAGGTATCACATTTTCGTAATAAGTTTCTCCTCAACAACACAATATCTTTCCAAGTCTAAAGGGAGGCCATGTTTCCCAGTGTTTGGTAGAAGACAGAGATGATATACTGGGTACTCCTATTCAAGGGTACCTGAAGTCTCACAGTCTTTTTAATGAACCAAACTCCGACAGTCCGACTTCGCAAAGCATACTTTGGTGTCGGGCTCCTTTTGGACCTCAGGGATCGAACCACAGAATAAGGATCACACTGCATCCACAATCGCGGCGCTTTCTGCGGGATCACCGTATTTACGACATACGCGTTTGCTCTGGAGGATATTGGTCCAGGAAACACTGTTCATCTGACATCCATTACCCTCATATTAAACAAAATGTCCGCAACGACAACTGCTGCTACGAGTGTCGCTACAAATGGCGGTAATAGCGAGGACAATCATAATACAAGCCCTTCGAGTTCACCTCTACTATTTTTTGTCGCCCTTGGATTTGGTGTCGTATTTACCAACTTATGGTACGTCAAATTGCTTTTCGTGCTACTACTACTTGTTATAGACTTCTAACCGGGTTCAAAGGATTATTGTTGGAGTCAAATACTGCTTTCGATATAATCAGCGAAACCGCCAATTACGCAACGAAGAGACGGGCGAGCCTATAGACTTGGTGACTATGCCCCGAACACACAGAAGAAGGAGGGAGAAGAAATTGATGACCATGGATGAAGTTAATGAGCGATTTCCACTTATCAAATATAAGGCGTGGAGAGCGTCACGTGAAATTGACGGCCTTCCAGCAAATGGCGGGATACAGGCACCGAATAGCAGGCCGCAGAGTTTAAAAGGAGATAATAATGACTTTGTTGGGGTCTCGTCTGGCACGTCTCCAATAGATAACCAGCAGCATATAAACGCACCTACATCGTATTCGCCAACTTCTGTTCAGCATGCCGAAATCCTGGTTACACAATCGGAAGAGAAGACTTCCGGGGATTTAGGACTCTCTGCTGACGCTCGGGAAGCAAGGCAGTCGCTCGATAAACCCGTACAACAGGTTCACGCTTTAGAAGACGATGAAAATGGCGATGGACATATCCGCACCGCACTCCCCGCTGGGCTTTTGCCAAACCCCGGTGATTCGTGTGCAATTTGCCTTGATGCGATTGAGGATGATGATGACATACGTGGTCTTACATGTGGCCATGCATTTCATGCTTCTTGCGTTGATCCTTGGTTGACAAGTCGGAGGGCATGCTGTCCTCTTTGCAAAGCGGACTATTATACACCGAAACCTCGCCCTGACGCTGTGGAGACATCAAATATGGAGCGCCCAAGGCGTCGTCCTACAGCTCGGACGCTGAGCCAGCCCCATGCTGTTCTCGTTGGGGGGCGAGTGAATCCATTTCGGTCGGTTGTGGCTTCACCGGGACAGCTACTGCAGACAGCACTGCCTGAAAACAGATCTAACTTGACACCACCAGCGGAGCAAAATCCATGGCGCATGCCAACAGGCCAATCTGCATCTACCAGTAATTTGCCAGATAGATCAGACGAATCCCATAGAAGTCGGAATCGGTGGTCGAGACTACTCCCCTCCCGTCTACGAGGCTTTTCGTTTGCCTCGCTACGTGTGTCTGGTCGGCACAATAACTATAGGGAGTATGAATATCCAACTGCAACTCAAAATCGAACACTCCGCCAGCTCGAAGCTGGACCTACCACTTGAGGTGCGCGCCGCTTTTTTACCACAGACTATGACATTCTCTTGTATATACTCTCAATCATCAGCATCCGGTATGCTGACTGACATATTTTTTGATCGCGTTTCACCGGCGTGCAAGACACGCCCATTGTTATGTACATTATTATACTCCGGGTGAAATGGTTCTTTTGGAGTAGGTTTCGGAGTTTATTTGAGTTTTGTGTGGTGTTCGTGGGAAACATGGTACTATATAATGGTTCATTGGGACTTGCTACAAAAGCATGGATTCGTTTGTTGATTCGACCTCCATATTCAAGATAAATATTGCCCACTCGTGAAATTATTGGCTCGGAGACATCGACTCAAATACAGTAGTGTTATTCTATACTAAGCCAGCAATGCAACGACACCATTGTCTAGACAATCGACGCGCGAGAAACAATCAAGGAGATAGAAAGGAGAAAAGGGAAATAGGATAATGAATTGGATTTGGTTTCCTCGTTATTTCTGAGTCCTTGTGCCGCTAACACCAGCACTTATGACACTAGGCAGTTCGGCCTGTCCGACTTGAAATAGCAAACCAATCGCTGTACTTATAGTCAGAACCCCTATAACTGTAACACCTGCAATCAAGAAGAAAGGAGAACTGATGTCTCTCTTCTGGCATGCCGATCCTCCCCATTGTGCTTTTTGTATAGTGCCATCCTGTTTCCTAATGGTAGTTTCCTGACACTTGCATGCGTAACAATCGTTAACAGTTGTTTCGCCTGAGCCAGATTTTTTGTAACAGTATCCATGCCCTGAGCAGTTATTCGTTGACTCGGAACAAGAGGATTCTGAAGCATGGCAAATGGGTGATAGAACCACAGGGATTGGGTCCTGCTGCTCAAATCTCAAGTTGACCAGCTTGGCGGAGCTCCCTTTAGTGACAAGGCTTCGAGTTTGTAGGTTTTTATTCAACCCAGTGGGCTTCGTGGGCCTGGATAAAAGCAACGTCGTGACCTCTGAGGACACAGCGGATAGATGTCGAAATAGCGATTTAAGGGACTCTGTTACGTTAACAGAATCGGAAGGCGTATTCACAGGCTGCAATTATGATTAGATATCGTTTCACTTGTGATGGTATGGAGTAAGGCATACCTTGAGCACGAGCCTCATAAGTGTCTCTGATCGAGTGATGTCAACCCAAGATTCAAGCATATCAGCATGCTTGAGCAACCCCTTCTCGAGAGCTCCAAGGATATCTTGCAGAACCTGAGCATCCGAGAGACACTGTGAATCAATCTATAAGCGACTGAATATTTGATGTACCTTTTCGTGGGTTCACTGGCACAAAACAAGAAGCATATGATTACCTTCAAAGTCTCGTACAACTCGGTTTCCTCATTGCTGGCATAGAAACTGCAATATCTTTCTTTGGACTCAGCAGAATCGCCGACTTTCATCTTAAAAAGCGACTTCAGGGAGGTTTCGATCGAGGAAGAATGTGGGGCCACATTGATGTCAGCGTACTCTGCTTGGACTGACGACCCTGCATATTAGAAGTTAGTGATAAATTTTTAACCATTTAATTACTGAACAGTTGGCAATGAATCTTACCAACTTCAGGTGCTATTCCCTCCAGAATAATGGTAGTTTTCCCGTTTTCTGGTGTAGGAGAGACCCCAAATAATGGCAATGGTGTGCCTCCAAAGTGATTTAAGAATTTCACGGTCTCTTGGTCGATCCTCCCAAGCGTCGACATATCAGGAGGTGCTATCCGAAGTTCCACAAGGCGTTGCACGGCCATATCAGGGTCCTCCAAGACAGGGAGTTTTGGATTGAATACGGACGTATCGAAGGCATTAGCCCCAGATGCGACTATCAGCCATTGCGGCAGAATACTGCGAATCCACAGCATGCTGTCAAATAGGTTGTAGGTGGAGAATTTAAGACTACCTTATAAGGCACTATGCAAAAGTGGTCGTTTGTTTGATGGGGATTGATAATCTAGAGAGGCAGTACCCCAGATACACTTGAAAGCGGTGTCATAGAAAATCACGTGTAAGCGGTCAGAGCCTTTGGGGTACTACAGGGAGAACGATCTCGTCAAATTCCAAATCAGCGATTCCCGAGTCGAAATATGAGTGACATCTTTTCAATAGCATATCTGTTGCAGTTTACCAATGATTCGAATTAGCCAATTTCTCCGGAATTCTCAGTTATCTTTCCGCATCAGCCCGCCGTTAGCTCGGAATTCAAGGCATCCCAATGTTCGCTATGTAAAATTCCAGAAACCATGGATCAGGTGGGCATCAAACACTGCTTCTTGCTTTGATGTTGTATTTTCGTCCTGACTGGGCTTGTCTTTGCAGGAAACTTTTCACTGCCTTTTTACTCTATGGGACTGCTTTTCATCTATGGAGCTCATTTGTTCTACTGCAATTTGATGCTGCACCCGAAGATGACGATGTGTCTCGGCGACCTAGTATGAGCGAGAAATACGCACGCACAAACAAAAATGAGGGCGATATAGATACCACAGGTGATATGGAGGACTTTGATGAGGATCCTATACATATCCCGTTGAGTTGGCCACGCAGACATGAGGGCAAATTCTATGCCGCATCAGACCCAGAATGGCAGGAGTTCGTCAAACTTGCCAGAGACCATAAAAAAATACGGTCATTGAAAGGTAAGTTACTTGTAATTCTTCAAGACATCTCGTGCATCTGTGCTTATGTATTGAAGATGAACTGGCAACGATCGTTTTGAATGATGCCTCTCGATCAAGCCTGCTTTCACACGTACTAGGACAACCCCTCAACATAACAGGGTTCTGGTTACTGCACCATTTTCCATCACGTGCACCGCCTGAATATGATCGACTATGGTATGCATTTATAAATATACCTGTGGTAGACCCCATTTCTGACATGGACCAGTCTGGAGATTAGCGATACCGGTGTATACCTGGTGACGAAACGGATGCCTAGCGAGGATGGCGACAAGCTCCAGAGATTCATGCGACCTATTTCTGTGGCCCTCGCAATCAAAGATGCTTATTTGGTTTTCTTTAGAAGGCAGCTCCTTCGGTTGCAGTATAGGAACTCGGATCGAGAACACACCGCAAGCACATCGGATTTTCCGTACTCCAAGCATGCATTCTCACGAGATGCAGGTGATTTGAATGGGTTAAATCACATCACTCAATCCGAATCTCAACTGCCACTTCCTGACGGTCATCAAGAGAAATTACCGCGTGACAATGAACATGGTAATCTTCATCCATCATCGATTATCTCTTCTGTGCAGCGATTGCCACTGCCTAAATTTGGACCTGGGTCCGATTTCTATCTTGCATTGCTAGCTTTCAAATGGCGATTGACTGAGAGTTGGGCTCGAGCGTCCCATACACCGCGCCGTGGCACATTTTATATTACTGGACCCGTGGGACTAAAAGGCCCAAGGGGATTTTGCAGGGTTGAAGTGAAAGGTGAATACGATCCAGCCGCGTCAAGTTGGACTGCCGTGAAAATTCAATTAAAGGATATGAATGTTTTCAAGCAAAAGCCACTTGGTGGTCCATGATCAGAAACCGTTGGCTCGCGGTACTTTAGCATGCTGCCATCATGCAAGATTCTTTTTAACACACTGAGGTATGACGAGGTATTCGCCACCCAATTAACGACGGACATATATGTAGTGCTTGCTCTACTTGTACATACTCTGTGCCTACATAATACATAAAATTACTATGTACATAAACAGTAGTGTGTGCATCACGGACCTGACTAAAAACAAATATGTAGTTAATAGTTAATTCAAATTATATGATGTCATACTGGGGGGGGGTAATATATAAAATAGACAAGAGGTCTATTGCTACAACCATCCACCGTACTCTACGAGTACTCCGTACTCATACCTAGCGAAAAAAGTAAAGAAAAAAGAAGAAAAACAGAAACATTCTCTTCTTTATTTCTCACTGCTCTCATTCTAGCTTTACGAGCGCAAAATGCATATGCCTCCCAAATTCGTTGGCCAGAAGTTGTCGACTGCTGCTGCCCAGCAACAACAGCACACACTCGAATTATGTATGTAGTCCAAGGATAAGCAAGCCTCTCGATAGAAAGCAAAACTGATTTTCTACAAAATATAGATCTCGATTACGTGTGTCCGGTGGGTTCCATCATGGTAGCAATTCGATTCTGTACTGATTCATCTCTCATTGCCAGTTCTCGGCAAAACTGTTCAACACATTCTACGCTTCAGCCAGACCTATAATTACTCAAAAGTATGCGTCGAAGCTTCAGGTCATGTTTCGTCAACAAATACAGCCCTGGCATCCATCGTCAACCTTGGTACATGAAGCCGCGGCTGCTGTTCTAAGGATAGCCCCGGAGAAGTTCTGGCAATTCAGTGCCGACTTGTTCAAGTACCAAGAAGAGTTTTTTGATGTGAATGTTGTTAATGAAACACGTAACAAGACCTATGAGCGGTTGGCAAAAATTGCCGGCGGTGTTGGCGTGAATGAGCGCAAGGTTCTCGAGTTGTTGACTATCAAAGAGGAAGCCGAGAGTGGACAATTGAACGTCGGAAACGAGGTGACCAATGACATTAAGTTGATGGTCAGGGTAAGTATCAGAGAGCACATGTTACTCCAAAAAAACGCACATTATCTAACACAATATAGTTAAATCGTGTTGTAGGCGTACATGTGACCCCTACAGTATACTTCAATGTATGGTGCCCGGTTTAACAAGCATGAATGTTCAGCGTACTGATATTTCCAGGGACTCGAGGAGCCGGGGATTAGCAGCAGTTTTGACGCTACCCAATGGGAACAATGGCTGACCAAGAATGTGATCTGATTGCCTCTTTGGAAGAGGAAACAAAGATGAAACAAATGTATTCCAATGTCAATTCTATATGTCTTTCTTTCATTCCCACTATTTTCCCCATCTCGTTCAATGCTCCGAAATTCTGTATTTGAATGTAGTCGGCTGTTTTGAGAGCTTTGCTATAGATCATATGGTCATTAATTTCTATCATTTCTGATTCCCTTTCTTTTCCTCCCATATGTCTCCCTCCCCTTTCAATAATACAATAAGCTAAATGGATATCATTATGCTGGAACTTGCAAATAATCATTGAGATACTGGAGGCTGATAGTTAAGAGGGCGCCTGCAAGCATTAATTAGCAGTGAAAACCATGCAGTTAAAGATTTGGACAATAGATTCTTACTTGAACAAAAGAATGTGTGGCTCCGGTTCATGCACCTCATAATGTTCCCATCCCAAGCTCTGCCAGTGGTGATTAGCCAATGGTTTAGGGACATGGAAACAATAAAAACAGTAGACAAGTGAAACAACACGTCGTCCCTATCGTCGTCGCCGACAAAACCTCTTTCTGAACTTACCTGAGTAATACCAAGTGAACGCCACTCTTGCTCCCAAAGCAGTTTCAATGTGCCTTTTGCACTATCGAAATAATCGGCCGGAATTTTCTTGAGCATATCTTTTGGAAGTTGGACGTGGCGATATTCGTATTGATCGTCGGAATATCTGCTTTTGTTCAATGCGTATGTTCTTGCCAAGGAAAACTCAAGGAGATAGGTACCTTGCCGAATAGTGTATAGAGTCAACGTACTCTCTAAGCCTGTCCACCTCCTCCTCTTCTAAAAGGCGAGGCTTTCTATTCCTCCTGCTCATATCGATATCCATTTGGAAGTGTGGGCGCGCGAATGCGATGTTAATACCTGCCTACATTGGTCGAATCATCAACACATGAACGGAAATATGTCCACCTTTGGGGCACAGAACATACTCCCCCCCTGCTTGAACAACTTAGTCTCTGCTTGAAAAACAGCGCTGAGAGGTGTAAAGTCTTGACTTCACTAACAGTCTGGTAAAGGATCCTTTATTTAAGGTCGTCGTAGTTTTCGCCTTCTTTCTCTTAGTTAAGAAAATAAAAAGAGGGGGGAGAAAAAAGAAAAGAAGAGAAGATGCGAAGGGGTTATGGCAAAAAGATATGGATGATCAAGCACAAGTTAATAGACGAAAGAAATATAGCATGCAGTTTTTCTCCAGTTGAGGCCAGAGAAATAGTAGTAGTCAGTAGTTCATTTGGATGAGATTCAGACAAAAGATAATCCATTGACCTCTGTAGAGCGCCCCACACCTGCATCTTCATGCCTGAGGCTCGAAACTCTATGCGGAGTATTATATTCCATCCATACATATTCCCTCTTGAATATTCATATCATTGCCAAACATTATTATAGGCTACAGCCAATTAAGCATATATGGTGATACAAATGAACAATACTCAAAGTGTAGAAACCCAATAACTTTTATTATTGATGCAGACCAGTTAATAATCAGCTCCAATTTCAAAAGGCACCCAGTACTATAAAATTTGAATGACTGAATCAAATGAGCAAAAAAAGCTCACCGTCACATCAAGGCTGCCACAATAATGTACTTTATGCCCCAGCCATTATATGGAATTATGGAATGCCTGAAAACTAGGGAGCAGATACTATGAACAGTTCAATCTATGAGGTTCACAATGGAGTTTGACAACAGAAAAGTTACTGCTAGTATTTGCAATTCGAGGTCCAATACGAACTATTGTGTATGTGGGGGCAAGCCTGCTACATATGGACTGACGGTCTTATATATATACCACCTATATAAATTGCCATCCAACCCCTTCCAATTCAAGATATCCCTTCTGCAGGACATTGCCACACGTGTTGCTCACTCAGCTTGTCGTATTAGAGGATCCGTTCATGTCTAAGTTCAAATGTTTTTAAGCTATCTCCGGCCGGTAGCCTTTCCTACAGTAGATAGGGGACTCGTATGCATTTGCGCTCTGATGGGCACTCAAGAAATCGAATATACAGTAAAGCTAATACTTGCACATGTTTTCATTGTTTTTTCATTGTTATCCTTACCACACCAGAGGCATTAGGGTTCCTCAGCGTGGAAAATCTTGAGTGGCGGCTTATCTAATCGCTCGTACAAACAAGGTCGAGGGGAAAGGGAAAGGAAAAAAAAAACTAAAGTGGGGCCCTGTCCTCTTTTTTTTTTTTTTAAAAAAAAAAAAAAAATTTCAACCCGCTCCCACTTCTAACGCCCGGAGCGAATTTTTATTACTTCCTTTCCTCCTCCCTCCTCCTTCCACCTTCACACATCAACTCTCCTGGCTTTGTTCATAGTATCTCCTATATTCAGCCATCATGTCTGACGAAGTCTACGAAGGAGCCATCGGCATTGACCTTGGTAAATGCCCAATCATCTACACACTAAAATTCTTCGACATAGCAAAACGCTGACAATTTTTTTTTTTTCACTTTATTTCAGGCACGACCTACTCTTGCGTTGCCAACTATGAAGGCACCAATGTCGAAATCAGTATGTTTCAATGCTCTACCGACAGGTACATGGACTGGAGACTGATTTCTTTAAGTTGCCAACGAGCAGGGTAGCTACACTACCCCCTCTTTTGTCTCCTTTACCGACAAGGAGCGCCTGATTGGTGAGGCCGCAAAGAACCAGGCTGCGATGAACCCGCAGAACACCGTCTTTGATATCAAGTAAGGAATAAATCCATAATTCGGCATAGGGTAAAGAATACACGACTAAAAATCCTTAATAGGCGTCTCATTGGCCGACGCTACGAAGACCCGATTGTGAAGAAAGATGTTGAGTCTTGGCCCTTCAAGGTCGTCGACCAGGGAGGAAACCCTGTTGTGGAAGTCGAATACCTCGGCGAAAACAAGACCTTTACTCCCCAGGAAATCTCGTCTATGGTCCTTATGAAGGTAAAATCTACAGTTACCGCAATATGGATCGCCGGTGCTAACAGCGAGTAGATGAAAGAAGTTGCGGAGACCAAGCTCGGAAAGAAGGTGGAGAAGGCTGTTATTACCGTGCCAGCTTACTTCAACGACAACCAGCGCCAGGCTACCAAGGACGCTGGTGCCATTTCTGGCCTGAATGTTCTGCGAATCATCAACGAGCCCACCGCTGCAGCGATTGCCTATGGTCTTGGTTCCGGAAAATCTGACAAGGAGCGTAACGTGCTGATTTATGACCTGGGTGGTGGTACTTTCGATGTGTCTTTGTTGAACATCCAGGGCGGTGTTTTCACTGTCAAGGCTACTGCTGGTGACACCCACCTTGGTGGTCAAGACTTTGACACCAACCTCCTTGAGCACTTCAAGAAAGAATTCCAGAAGAAGACCGGAAAGGACTTGTCTGGTGACGCTAGGGCTCTTCGTCGCCTGAGAACGGCTTGTGAACGTGCCAAGCGTACGCTGTCCAACGCCACCCAGACCGCCGTTGAGATCGACTCTCTTTTCGACGGAGAGGATTTCAACACTTCCATCACTCGTGCTCGTTTCGAGGATCTCAACGCCAAGAGCTTTGCTGGTACCTTGGACCCGGTCCAGCAAGTCCTTAAGGACTCTGGACTTGCTAAGAGCCAGGTTGATGAGATCGTTCTCGTCGGTGGTTCCACTCGTATTCCCCGTATCCAGAAGCTCCTTAGCGACTTCTTCGATGGCAAGAAGCTTGAGAAGGTAAAACATCCAGATGACCGAAATCTGGGAATTTGAACCAGCTAACTGGTATTTGCAGAGCATCAACCCCGACGAAGCTGTTGCTTACGGTGCAGCTGTGCAGGCTGGTATCCTCTCTGGAAAGGCCACTTCTGCTGAAACCCAGGACCTTCTGCTCCTTGATGTTGTCCCTCTCTCGCTTGGTGTTGCTATGGAAGGTAACATCTTCGCGCCCGTCGTTGCACGTGGCCAGACCGTTCCTACCATCAAGAAGCGCACTTTCACCACCGTCGTTGACAACCAGACCACTGTTCAGTTCCCTGTTTTCCAGGGTGAGCGCACTAACTGCTCGGACAACACCTCCCTTGGCGAGTTCACGCTGGCTCCTATTCCTCCCATGAGGGCTGGTGAGGCTGCACTTGAGGTTGTCTTCGAGGTTGATGTCAACGGTATCTTGAAGGTTACCGCAACCGAGAAGTCTTCTGGACGTACCGCAAACATTACTATCTCGAACGCTGTCGGTAAACTCTCGACCAATGAGATTGAGCAGATGATCGACGGTAAGTTTCCTGGTTCAATTTAGATTACTCCATATCTGACTTTCCACAATAGATGCCGCCAAGTTCAAGTCCAGCGATGAAGCTTTCACGAAGAAATTTGAATCGCGCCAGCAGCTCGAGTCTTACATCTCTCGTGTCGAAGAGCTTGTCTCGGACCCGTCCATGTCCATGAAGTTGAAGCGTGGCAACAAGGAAAAGATTGAGTCCGCGCTCAGTGACGCCATGGCCCAGCTTGAAGTTGAGGATTCCACCCCCGACGACCTCAAGAAGAAGGAGCTTGCCCTCAAGCGTCTCATGACTAAGGCCATGGCTACCAGGTAAATGTAAATATTGCTAGATCCTGGTACCAATAGCAGAGGGGTTGGCTGTATGCTTTCATATGCAAGTGTGAAAGCCCCGATCTTGACTATTGATCGAAAGTTATTAATCTGATTAAAAGCGCCGTCCCGCTTATGACCCTTTTTGGGATTGAGACTCTTTGTTATGATTGGGTACTGTCTTCCTGGATGAACGAGACCGCCCTGGGCAGTTTATGATTTTGATGAGCCTGGCATACTGGTGGATCTGGTCAGATCTTGAGTTTGATTTCTAATTTGTTCTTTGTTTCCTTTTACTTCAAATTGTTCACATATTAGACCCAGTCAGACGACTGTAAGGTGTTGACAAAAGAATAAAAAGTGGTTTAGTTGTTAATCTTCTGCTGTACGCCGTATCTCCAATTGATGTTTTCTCTGAATATCATGTGGGCCTTGAATATAAAGACTTAGTAAACTTACTATGCAGAATACTGATAATACGTCAACCACCCTAGAATCTAGCTATCTCATTTTTCTTTTTCTTTTCTTCTTTTTTCGTTTACGGGTTAATTCTAAGTTGCTCACAATGCAACGCAGTTTGGCAAGTTCCAGCCTTTCTGGCCTCGCCCGGAGTCGTTTTCTATCCACGAACTCTCGGATTATAAGTCGACCACAACCTTTATTACTACTGTATAACCTGGCTGTGCCAAGCGGAAGGCATGCCTTTTCAAGTTCCCCTCCTTTGTACAAAAAGAAAGACAAGTCAAAGAAGGGCACTCTTGCTGCTGAGTCTGAAGTAACCAAGTCTTCGAACGGTGTTGAGGCCTCAGACGACCCTTTCGCCCTCTCTCAGCTGCAGGATGACATTGCAGCCGCCGTCTTTCGTCTCAAAGATGATCTTTCTAAACTCCGCGCTGGAGGGAGATTGAACACTGAGGCTATCGAGAGTCTTCGGGTTCAGTTAAGCAAGGGGGGTAAAGACACTGTCAAACTGGGAGAGCTGGCACAGGTTGTTCCTAAGGGAGGACGAATGGTCACTATTCTTGCTGCTGAAGAGGGTGTGAGTCTGCTCCCATTGTTTCTTGAATACAACATTCGCTGTGCACAAAACTTTTTTCTCCCCTTGATTCTAACTTGTGTCATAGCATATCAAACCGATCAGTTCGGCAGTCATCTCGTCCAATCTTTCCTTGAATCCTCAGCCAGATGCTCATAACAGCCTCCAACTTAACATCCCAACCCCCCCGCCGACGAAGGAATCCAGGGATAAAACAGTACAAAATGCAAAAACGGCAATGGAAAAAGCATCTGGAACCGTCCGCGACTCAAGAGGTGCTGTGCATAAACGTCTTCAAGAGATGCAGAAGAAGAAGATCGCCAGGCCAGATGATGTCCGGAAGGCACATGACAATATGGGAAAATTAACAGAGAAGGGACAGAAGGAGGTGAAGGATCTGTTTGAAGCAGCCAAGAAAGCGTTAAAGCAGGCATGAGCGGCTTACGACAATGACCATTACGGCAACCCAATTTGCAGCCCGAGATATGAGAGTGCCGGTCCGTACTAGAATTGCGTGAATAGGCCGGTTGATGTTGTCATATAATCTTCATATTCCCTGAATACTAGATATACCAGAAGAAAAGAAAAAAAAAGAGTGATCCGAAATTCTGGAAAGACATGGCTACTAAACAAAGAAGGAAAGAATATAGTACATCACGTATTATCCATTCTATGCACGCTTGGTAGGGCGGCTCGAAGCAAGAAGCGACTCGACTTTGGTGAGGAATTGCGTGCTCTTGCCGGCGGTCCGGTATGTTTCGTTGTTCCTGAGATTGGCAATGATGCCCCCAAGAACAGCAGGTTTATCAGCCTGCTGAGTCTCCGGCTTGGGGTAGATTCCCTGGACGAGACTTTGCACCAGAACCTTTTGGTCCTCAGCCTCCATTGGGTCGAACTTGATTTCCTCGGGCTCCACAAGATCGCCCTTTCGTTGTGACAGTTTGTCTGCGTGTTCTTGTGCAAGTTTCTTGGCCTCTTTTATAGCCTGGGCCTTTTCCTCTTCGCTGAAGAAACGAACGCTTTGTCCCTGATACAGTCGCTTGCCCAGTTCATGTGGCGGAATATATCCGTCTGCGAAGCGTCCGCTTATTGATGATAGCTTTTCTAGGACTCCTGCAGTCTGTGCGGTGACATCAGTTGGTAAAGAAGGCCATGTTTCTCGCATCGTCGAGAAGTCATGCGCCTGAGGTGCGTATCGGACAGGTACCGGCCTCGACTTTTCCGTAAGTTCTTGGTAGACAGCTTCAATTTCTGCTTCCCGAACATCATCACCTTTCCCCACTCCCGACTGACTCCTGGGTGCTCTAGGACGGCGGGGTTTTGGGGACGACTTCTTGAATTTGCGAGCGCCCGCCTGTACTCCACCTCGAGGGTATTGGAGCCTAGGTCCTCGAAGAACGTTTGCTTGGCCACCAGTCTTGGAAGCGGCGAGGGCTCTTGCATCAATCACATGTGGTGGACGAGGACGAAGTCGACTTGCGCTGGCATCCTGAGAGCCTGTTTTCGCAGGCGGAATGTTAGGCCTTCTGCGAGGGCCAGGGCGGGGTGTAGCTGCAGGCGAATAACGAGGACCTACGAACGTACATGTGAGCATTCGGATAGCGATGATAAGACTAGCGAAACCTTGAGGTACATAAAAGGGATGAAGAATCCTAGGACTGCTATAAAACGAAGCACACGTACCTGACAATTGGTCTGTTACCTGCTGCGTTACGGAGAATTGGCGGAACGAGGTGATGATTCCCTCGACCGAACGCTGGTGTTCATTGTATAGGAATGCTGGGCGCAACTGAGTTCGAAGCATTTTCTTTCTCCCCCGCTACAGTAGCAGCGACGACTAACTTGAGCGAATGGCGTCGTGACAACGACGTAGATTCGTGCTGCCCGCGTACCCGAAAAGTTGAGAAGGGCTCGTTGAATTTCCGGGTAAAATCACGTGAACTCAATATCCACCGTAAACATACATGAAAGAGTGTATTGGAGCCACAACTGAACCATTTTATTTCTTTCCAACAATCTTGCCTTGGAAACAGCTCAGTTGCGCTTTAAGCCTTACTACACCTGGTCTCTACAATTGTTCACCAAAGCCCGACAATGCTTCGTCGCAAGCCTACGGCAATAGCAGTGACATCCGAAGACCTTGCTGCCTTTGAAGACGCACGATTACGCAAACTAGCCAAAGAAAACAACAGTCAGGCTCATGTCGAAAACAGCTCCAATGCCCATTTTGATCCGAGTGATGAGTTGAAACCACTACCGGGAGACAAAGCAAGAATTGTTCGGTCTCGCGAAGAGCGGATAGGAATCCGGCGCAACTGAAAGCCCTCCTTCCCAAGTGAAATAGACGCAGGCGATTCACCAACATTGGTTACCGACGAACAGAGCCAATTATAGAAGAAACGAGTTGTTGATCCTACTTTCCCGAGCGCCCTTCCGACTGAGCGAAAGCGCCTTGCAACCTCATCCATGCCCGCCTCCACGAGAGGCATGATTCTATTGGGAAAAGGCCCAAGATGTCGTCTCCAATCTCGTACTTTTTATTTCGAATTTCATTGTACCATCTACAACTAGAAATCTAATGTACATGACTCTTGGAAGATTGCCTTCACGGGTTATTGTTCTTGGAAATAAAATGCGGAGAATCGAAACATAGAAATCACCTTGGTATACACAAGAAGCTCGTAATGAAAAAAGAAGTACCGGAAGATCAAACCCGGCTGTGCTTCCCCAACGAAAGTGAAAGAAAAACGCCCGCTTTCTGATGACAAACCTACCCGCGAAAAGCGCAAGTCCCATCATTGACAAACTTATAACCGTAACAGCTGGCATTGCAATACTAAGAACCAAATGACGGCTCATGTGAATAGAAAGAAAGGAGGGAATATGATCGTATCACATGATGTCGCTGCATCCAATGAAAGACGCTTGATAGGGTGACAACATGCAGGTACTTTTATGCCTTCCCACATACCGAGAAAGGAGCCATAATCTGGGGGCTCTCGGGACAGTCGTCCCTTCTCGCACAACGGATGATTGAACGGGAAGCGGAGAATGTATAGAGGCAAGCCTGCCATATTCACCGTTGCCGTTTTGACATATTCTCCATTCCCATGTCAACAGAATAATTCCATCGCCTCTTCAAACCATGGGGATCAAACACACTGGCAACACTCTGCTGCCAGTCACGGGCTGTGATCATAGAGTGTCTTCCGGTAAACTGGGGTTGGGAGATGGATTGAGGTGGCGTGACCGAGGCCACCTTGGTCGGTGATCCGTATTGGACAGGATAATGAGTTTGCAGGGGTGGCTGCATGCCCTGCACGGGATTGCTTAGGTTCATCGGTGGTGAATTCGTACTGACAGTAGACGGATCAACCGAAAATGCCATTTCCCATTGACTAGACATATAGTTAGCAGATGTTCTGAAGTAGACCGTTTTTAGGCTATTTTTCGTACTTAATAATGCGCGTTGGGTCCCAACTGTTTTCATCCACCAGCGGAGCTTCCATCGAGGGGTGGTTCGATACTGGGTGAGGCGTCATCATTCCCAGGGGCTGCAGTTGGGAGGAATCGGACTTTGCGTCTTCAGTACCAGTGGACATTGGAGGTGAAATTGGATAGGCATTATAACCCACTCTGCTCTGAACGTTTCCCGTGAGATGATTCAACGGTGGAGTATATTGTGAAGAGTCAAACGGTGGAGGACTCGGGTGATATGGCTCGGAGGGACTCCCATATGGGAACGTGGATTTCAACTCAAATGGGCGGCTGACATCCGCAGAGAACGCCAGACGTAGAGAATCAATCTGTGCCTGGATCTCTGGCATAGGCCAAGCAGCAGAGCACTGCTCGAGGATACGCATGTGCCGTGTGAAATAATCTCTCGCATCCGTGTGGAAATGCGGATCAGGAGACGTTATTGCGATCTGAAGTGTGTGTGGGTTAGCAAGTGATATACTAAGTGCGGAAGAAGCTAACACCTACCAGATGCAACATCGTGCAGGTCAAAATGCAGTAAATAGCAAAGTTAATGCCCCTTTGCATGAATAGTAGCCCTGGGAGACCGTAACTGGCCAGTATGGCTTCCTGGAGCCTACATAGGCATTTCGCTGAGGAGTAGCATAATCCAAAGTGCCCTTTCCAGCTCCCCCCGGTAGAAAAAGACTTGGACGCGATTAATTGGGGGCGATGGAGTAATATAACCCCTAAGTGACAATGCGAATGCATGTTCGCAACAAAATGCGATGGTATCCAGGGTGGCGTTCCATCGGCGGGATAATTTACCTGTAAGTCCGGGGGCATGCCGTGGAGCCAATTTGTGAACAGGGGATTCTTCTCAACAAATCTGGGGTCGGCACCCCAGTCTCGTTGTTTTTTGATCTTGTGGTATATGTCGGTGATGATGCGGATGTGGTTGGCATTCCGAACAAAGTAAGCATACTGTCGAGAACGGTCAATCTCGAACTGGTCAAGGCCTTTAATATCCAACATTGGTCGCATGTCCACAGTATCCGGGTCTACGCCATAGTCCGAACGGCCTAAGATGCAACAGGTTAAGAGTTGTACAGGCGATACTGGACGAGAGGGATGAATACATACCCTGCGGTGCTCCAATCATGACTTCGACAACAAGCAAGGCCTGCCACACCCTTGTCTGTACCAAGCATTCCACTGGTTGCAAATCACAGGGTCTCCCTTCCGCATGGATACTATAATGTTCATGGAGATCCAAATCCTTCGCCATGGAGACTATAGTTTTCACCGTTTGCCAAGATCTATAATAGTAGCCCTTTTTCGGCAACGATTCTCTAGCTTTCAGTAACAGAAGCATCGCCTGAATTGTACTCAGACGCGGTACATCCATAAAGCTAGGTTCATGCCCTATAAATGTGCATTAGCACAAACTTGCATTAACCAAACGAGATCGAAACCGGGTAGCTTACTGTTCGCCAATGCAAGCCACTGGGCTCCCTGTGCTGGATCATCTGACAGTCTGCCCGCACATGCAAACAACGCTTCAAGGAGGAGAGGAGATATCGAACTTCGGTCATTTTGCCATTGATAATACAAGTGAGACCGGTGAATCGCTGGGACATAGGGATGAATGTCATCGAAATACGTTTTGAAGTAACTCATCACCTCGTCATCGGGTGGCATAAGTTCGGGAGGGATTCGAATCGCAGACCCTGCGCCTGTGCTAAGTGGCGGCAGTCTTTCCTCTGCATCATCTTGAATGGGGACTTCCGGTTCGGACCGATCTTGTCTCTGCTGCCTAATATATGGTGCTTTGAGAAAAAAGACATCAGTTTTCGATCTCTCAAAACACTTAGTTGGGGAGAGGGACATCACACCTATACCAGTCTCGTCAATCTTCAGCTCACCAAGTACCTCACTGAGGTTTTCCGCAGTGGACTGGTCGTTCTCGAGAAACAGGCTATTGTCTGGAGTCCCCAAAGATTGCTGCTGTGTTTGGGGTGCAGAGAACATCTGCGGCTGCTGGTAGTGGTGTTGCGGCTCTGCGATGGGCGGCGACCGGACATCACCATAAATACCGGGTTGGGTATGAGGGGGCGGCATGAATTGGGAGAACACGCCCATTCCATCATTGTAAGGTTGAATGCTCCCAATCGGAACTTGGCCGCCATCACGGAAGGTCTGAGGCATGGGGAAAGCATGGTGAGAGGGCTGCTGTGTACTAGGTGCACCTAGAGAGCCTGTTGGATCGGATTCAACAGTTTGCCCAGCGGGAAATTCAGACTCCTGCCCAACAGTGGGAGGCACGCATACTAGCTTCAAACGGGTGCACGCGGAGCAAGGCCATGTATTTGTCGTAGCTGCATCGCATTTGATCTTCCTCTTTCTACAGCCGTTACAAGCCCGCATCACTGGAATCACACGTTAGATTGAAGCCTACCAATCAAGCACGTGGAGAGATCGCATACCCTTCAAACGTTTGTGTCTGTTGTGTTCATCCACAAACACATAGTCTAACACACGAGTATTCTCCGTTAGTACCCGGTTCGACTCGAGTCTCCGAACGTGGCAGCAATTTGTCATGCATCGAAGTATGCTTACTTTTATGACCCTCCCTTGGGGGACCGGATGGGGGTGCGAATGAATAACCCTGCATTTCCCAAACAAAGAACCGATATAAAGCAAATATGTCTCCGCAGCTTGCTGACGGAGAGCCCAGTTTATTGCGACAGGATATAAGCCGTAAACAATCGGTGCGCGAAAGATTACTCTCTTAGTGTAAACTGCATGTAGACCGGTTGATATCGAATGAATCGAAATATGATTGAAATAACGCACCCAAGCGGGGAACGCGAAGATTGATCGTCGAACTTTAGAACAGACACTGGACGCCTGGCGCGTCTATCGCTTGAAGTCGCAAGTTTCGAGAGTCGGGCCGGTGATTTAGTGCAAGGAGAAGTATGTTGATTGAGCAATATCAATACAATATCGCTCTGGAGATGACGATTGAGTGGCGCAAGTCTGATAAGGGACGCGGTTAGATGCAATTGTCGTCCGCGAAATAAGGAAAAGCGACAAAGAGGTCGGGCCAATAGACTGAGACTAAAGACTGTAGCGTTCAGATTGATCGTCAGTCATACCCTATGAGTATTCGCAAAAACTTATAGGATGAACAAGGGCAAATTGAAAAGAGGACAGCAAGCAATGGCAATGGAGGAGGTAACAGCTGGTTTTCGGCTGCCTCTTTTCTTCTTCTTTTTTCTCTCTCTCTCTCTCTCTCTCTCTCTCTCTTTTCTGGGACTTATACAAAATTCCTTTATATTCAAAAGGAAATATGTGCAACTTCCACTGGCTGTTGACAGCGAACACCCTTGGATGGGACAACCGGAGAAAGCCGAAAAGCAAATAGGAAACAGCAGTAAATAACATATGATAGAGGGCGATATGTGGCTTACAGTGAACAGGCAATGAGGGAGGAATGAAGCTGTTCCGGTCTGAATTTGTAGTCTACCATCATCAGTATATTAGGACATTGGTAGACTTCCGGTTCACAAAGCATGCGACGATCCAATTGGGATGCGATTTCAACGTCTGCAAGGAAAGAGGAGAAGCAAAGCGGGTGGAGGGAGGAACAGGAAGCAGGATGGCAAAGGAACGGGTGATGTTCGGGGAACCCAATTTAAGCAAGAGGGGGAAACATGGAAAGCCCACCAATGCACACGACGATTCGCAAGGCCTGAGAAAGGCGTGTAAGAAAAGAATTCGGCTTTAAATAAGAAGTAGTCTAGTAGTTCATGGCGCAACTTCGGAGTTGGAGATTTCGGATGGCGGATTGAAAAGGGACGTAACGTAGTAGCGGCGATTGATAGCGCGGCGGCAGTGGTAATAGCAATAAAAGGGTGGTAGCAATATGTACCATGTCAATACAGACTGTACTGTGTACGGAGTACCGTGTGTATGGTCGAAGATGATAAGTGATGAGGATGTGTTAAAAAGAAAAGAAAAGAAAGGGAAGGAAATTGAGGATTACTATATTATATAAATATAATACTTAATGGATGATAAATGATGGACGGTGGACGAGGGGGGAAAGAGAGAGAGTGTGTGAGATGAGAGTCTCAAAGGAGCAGTGGCGGGCGGAGACCGACCAAGTGCGGGACACAGTTATTAGTAGTGTAGGTACTTTGTAGTACAGATACGGAGTACATAGCAAAGAAATATGCCTGCTTAGTATCCAATTTGGTGATAAACGGATAGACCATACTCTCGGACCGTGATATGATCATTACCGAAAATCTTCCTATAAATGGGTTGTGGTAATATTCGGTGATCTTAAGAGTTGTTCATCCTAATGTGAGTATAAAGTATTATTACAGAGTTAATACAAGTAGTACGGTTGTATGTACATGCAAGAGCGTACTCCAAATCCGTCAGGTACGTACTCCAAGGTCTCCGGTGATCGCCGTAGTAATATTGATCAAGGCAGTCTCTTCTGGACAATGTTAGCGTCCCAATAGTTAGCATCCGGGCCGAGGCATCAGGACATGGTGATTGGTTCCGGAGCCCATGGAGCTCCTTTGGTGCAGGGTCGATCCTAGAAGATAGGATTCTGTTCTTGGAAATAGCTCACTGCATATTCTATTCTGTTCTTTGATTTCTTCTCTGTTATGGACAAAAGAAATCTCACCACTGCGGAGTACTGTAGAAAGCTTCATCATCAATACAAGTACGAATAATGTCCATTCTGTGTAAATGACAACTATTGTAGATCGTTAGCAGCTTGCCTCGGTTCGGGATATTGCATACGGAGTACGGGGTATTACTTCGTACATAGTTTAATGATGTCTAGCTGACAGTGAGCACAAAGCATAGAATACTTACTAACTCCCTGGAACAGTATAAACTACTGCTGTTGGATTACTCCCGTGATATATTGATACCCCTAATACAAAGTTTGCGGAGAACCTGTGGTAGTTCACCTTTGCTGACGAGTGATTCATTTCAGTAAAGTACGGGCATTATGATATACTCGGTAACTAGTATAGTCCATACAAACATCTGCCCATGTTATGTGAAACGGGTGCATTACTAAATGTAAAATGGCACAAAGTTAATCCGAGATTAGACATGACCCCTCTCTATCCAAGATCATCAATTTTTTAGAAGTACCAAGCCGACAAGAAGCAAAATCAAAATGGCATCAGAAATTCAAAACTCCAATCCCACCATATTGAACGCCGCGGATCTTCCTACCCGGCTGCGTCCCACTGCTCCTCGTAAATCTGGTGCCTATGGCACAGGCATCTTTACCTCTGCTCTTCCTTCTGCCACAAACCCAAATGACCCGTTCTCCTCCAGTCCATATTCGTCGGAGACATCTGGCAGCGAGGATGAGTTGATGGAAGAGCCCATCGATGAGCAGGAGATTTATGGTAATCCCACCATCCTTTATCTTCGTTGGTGTATATATAGAAGAAGCCTACTGATGGTTGAACATATAGACCTTATATCTACCATCTCTGATCCGGAACACCCTATTTCACTGGGTGCGCTAGCTGTCGTTTCTCTTCCTGATATCTCTATTAAGCCATCGCTTCCCAACGTGCCGGAGTCGCCCCTTCGGACAGTCACGGTGCTGATCACGCCGACAATCACCCATTGCAGCTTAGCGACAGTGATAGGCTTGGGTGTGCGCGTTCGACTGGAGCAATCGCTTCCTCCTCGGTTTCGTGTGGATGCGCGGATCAAGGAAGGCACTCACAGTACGGCCGATGAAGTCAACAAGCAATTGGCCGATAAAGAAAGGGTCGCCGCCGCCTTGGAAAACGGAACCTTGATGGGTGTTATCGCGAAGATGTTAGAAACATGTCAATGATCCTTTGGACTTCCTCAGCGAGCCTTCGAATTGTTTTACGCATGCACCTGGTACGATAGACGTCATTCTCTTCTGGTGTAAATACCGCAAAGAGAAGATGCCTCATTCAATATAATGCGCTGTGACCGATTCTCGCATACATGCGGTTCTTTTTTGTTTTCGGGATTTCGGGAGGAGGCCCCAACTATGACATTACAAATACATAAAATAATGTGGTCATGATATGCGATAGCCGAGCCGCCCTATACTCGACTATATGATGGTTTTAAGAATCTAGAACGCCACTTTCCTTCAAGCTCTTCCAGAGCTCCGGTTCCAAAAATTTGCTCACCGTCACATCCTCAGCCAAACCCTTTCGTCGTCTTGTCTTCAAGACGAAATCCCGGGCAGTGGCCATGGCCGGTGCCATCTCCAAAGGTCTGAGTTTGACATCACGATCCAGGGGATCTCCGGGAACCACGCTCCATTTGTCGAAAACAAGACTGACCGCAGCCTGTCCCTGAGTGTGGATTCGAAGATCTGTCTCAAACCCAAAGGAGTCGATCACAGGGATCAATCCACGGACTGAATAAAGCGGAGTTCCGGCAATTGGCCCGTCCGAAAGGACATGTCCTCTCCTGCGTGAGAGAACCGTGTACACAGATGCAACGGCGTCAGCAGGGCCTGTCATGTTGCATGAATAAATGGGCTCCATAAGGCGAGGAGATGCCATAAGGAAAGACGAGTAGATGGCACGTCGGGCCGTGGGAATAATCTGGCCGCCTCCCCGATAAATTGCTTGATCGGCAAGAGAAACGTCGGTAAGCCGGAATTTGGCATTTCGAATAGCTTATATCTCGTTAGCTCAAAACTCGTTTCAATATGGGCGAATGCTCTCAATAAATGCAAAGGAATAAAAAGGGCTATACTCACGCTCTTCACAAAGAGGGCCCTCCCTGGTACCCCAACTAAAGCCCTGCGTAATAGAATCTCTGACCGATCCAAGAAGTTTCTTGTCGACTTGTGACGGTAGCGTGTCATCTTGGAGTATATTCGGCCCCATCTCATCCGGACCAAAGGCCCAGATGCTTCTGGCAGCGAGCTTGTCCCACTCGTAGTTGTCCTCAAAGTAACGTGCCACCTTTCGGATAGGGTCCTTGATGCTGACCTTACCACTCTCGATATCCTCGGCGATACCATCATCCAATGGCTCTGCAATCATGGTGACCTTGTTCTTCTTATTTGGTGTGATGGAGTAACACATGATAGCAGAGGTCTCGACGACAGTTTCGCAGAAGCGCGTGACAGGGTCCGACACCTTGATTTCCATCTCCGAGTATAGTCGACGGAGATCATGGAGTACACAATCCATGTAGAGCTCGCCAGTACCCAAGACCACATGCTCACCAGACTCTTCCACTTTGGTGGATATTAGAGGGTAACTCTTGTTGACCTTGCGCAGACCGTCAAGCATCTTGGGTAGTTCGGATGGATTGACCGGCTCAACCGCAACTTTGAATACAGACTCGGTCATATGCCGAATTGGCCTGAAGATGTAGGCTTCCTCGTCATCCTCGAGTTTGAGAGGTATCAGGGTTGCGGTCTTGACAATGGAATTATCCACACCCCCTAGAAGCACCCAATTACCCGCAGGGACACCGCTCGTCGGGATGTTATAGCACGTCTCCGCGATCCATGTGTCGGAAATTGTTGCAATCACCATGTCTTCCTCGTCTTCAGGTGTATAGCCTTCGCCCAACACTCGAACCTGCTGGCCAGGCCGTGCTGTACCACTCATGATCCTTCCAAATGCACGGAAGCTGGCGGCATCCGTGCTGTTAAAGAGCTTCGTGACATGGACAACAAGGGGACCCTCAGCATCACAGGCGGTCATGGCAGCTCCTACCTTCGTATCGAGTGGGCCCGTGTAGTACCGCTCAAGTTTCTTTTGCGCGCCCTCCACCGGGGATGGGACATGCTGGATAATCATGTCCACGAGGCCAGTTGCAGGACCAAAGAACTGTTCACAGACCAAATTAAGTAGCTCCTTGGCATCGGTCTTCAGTTGCGAAGGCTTAAGGTTGATGCCCACGCTCGCAAGCGTCTCCTTCAAGTCTTCCGGACTTTCACTAATCGTGTGCGAGTAGAGCTTGTAGATAGGTTCCAGGACGAATTTCACAAAGGTACGCCTCGAATTCTCCTCGACTCCTTTCCGTGTGAATTTCCGGCTGTTTTGATTGAAGAAAACATCACCCCAAAGACGTCGAGCAAACTCATTCGTATCGATTTGAGGGTAAGAGTCGGCGTATGTCTTGGCGAATGACTGCAGTGTGAAGCACCAATTCATGGAACTACACGCGAAAGCAACGTTTCCTTTCTCCGGGCTCAGTCGTCTCTTTTCGCCTTGGCCCGGTAAAACACTCTCGATCACCGTGTTCACTTCCTCAATCACATGTTTCAGCTTGAAGTAGGCATCGTTGGGTGGGATCTTCAGCTCCAGAATCAATCTGTCCATCTTGTTCACAACCATCGTCATCGGGAGGTCCTCCAAGACGGCATGCTTGATTATTTGTTCTGTATTGGCCTGTACCCCTTCCACGACATCAACCACGAGCACCACACCATCGGCCAGTCGCACTGATGCAGCCACCTCGTCCACAAAGTTTACGTGTCCCGGCGTGTCAAGGATGTTGAAAAGATGGGATTTTCCTTTTGTGTTTTGAAGAACCAAGCTCATCGGCGCAGACTTGATGGAAAGTCCTCGTTCGCGCTCCAGGAAATGGATGTCAGTATACCGAAGCTGCTCCTCCTTCCGTCGGCCTATTCGCTTTTCTAGACGCTCGGTCAAATCGTGCGTTTGCGCCACGAGCATATCCATAAATGCCGTTTTTCCATGATGGAGGTGGCCGACAATCGCGATATTCCTTGTCTGGTCTGGGAAATTGAGTAAATCGGTCATAAACTCTCGTGAATAGTAAACTGGCGGTAATTCGGCTTCCTCAATCGCAAACTTCTTTTGTTGGACCGGGGCAATTATCGGCTCGGACAGCGGCTGCGTGTCTTCTTCTTGCACAAGCGTTTCAACATCCGTCCCATACACCTGCTGCGCACTAGGGTAGTATTGTTTATCTTCATGTAAAACGACGGCATTCGAAGGACCTTCTGTTAAATTGGAACAGGTCAGTACCAGAGCAAGGGCCCGATTCTGGGGCTTGACTACTAACCATCGACCTCCATCAACTGTTGCTCATTAGCCTCGTACTCGTCCTCATCCTCCTCAAAGGCCTCTTCGAAAGAAAAGGATTGCGGCTGAGCCTGCTCATGTTGCACTTCCTCATCCGACTCTTCTGCGCCCCCGATGTAGTTACCAAACCTGAAGAAATCGCGTCAGTTTGAACGATAATTTCCAGAATCAAAAAATTGACCAAGAGGAAGAGGTAATATAGGCGACATACTCATCATAGAGATCATCCATGTTGGGCGATGTTGGGAGGATTGGCAGCTCGCTGCTTCTTCTTTTTTGTTGGACTCGCGCTTTTTCGTTGGAGTCGGTCGGCCGAGCTTACTGAGTGGCCCGAGCTCGGTGGCCGCTCGTTGGTTGCACACGGTGACACGCCCCTCTCTCCGATAGCGCTTAAATGGCCAGGAGTAGATCCGGGTCAGCATTCGTTTTCTTCTTCTCTCCCCTTCCTTTCGCTTGTTCTTTCAGCAATTGTCAACCAGGATCCATTTTGAACGGACCGCAGTCGGGGCCTTTCTATTCAATCGTTGCTCTCGTGGATTCAGATATACACTACACATACTTCCGCTTGTTTGACAAGAAACCCTCTACATAGTACAACATGGCTTCTTCTCTCCCTCCAGTTTACATCGCTGCCTCTGCCCGGACTCCCGTGGGCTCGTTTCTCGGGTGAGAATTCTTGAGACCTTGTCGAATTCCAACAAGCCAAACAAAACTAACCTCGTTTTTTCTTTCCTAGATCTCTTTCGAGTTTGACTGCCCCGCAGCTTGGTTCTCATGCCATCAAAGGTATGCCACGATAGTCCTTCCATGTGCACTGGTGTGGCCATAACGGATTTTCTAATATCTCTTGTTCATAGCTGCTCTTGGGAAGACAGAGGGTCTTAATCCGTCAGACGTCGAAGAAGTTTTCTTTGGCAACGTTCTCTCCGCAAAGTGAGTGGACCTTTCTCTCCTTTTTCTCTTTGGGCCTATATTTTGACTTACTTCTCCTTCCAGTGTTGGACAAAATCCCGCCAGACAGTGTGCCCTCGGTGCTGGGCTCAACGACTCGACCGTTTGCACCACCGTCAACAAGGTTTGCGCCTCTGGCTTGAAAGCCATCATTCTTGGAGCGCAGACCATCATGACCGGAAACGCCGATGTTGTTGTGGCTGGTGGCGCGGAATCCATGTCGAATGCTCCTCATTATCTCCCGAACCTCCGCAATGGCGCTAAATATGGCCACCAGTCTCTGGTGGACGGCATTATGAAGGATGGGTTGACTGATGCTGGAAAGCAAGAGCTCATGGGTTTGCAGGCTGAGGAGTGTGCTCAGGACTATGACTTCAAGCGTGAGGACCAGGATGAATATGCCATTCGCACCTACCAAAAGGCCCAGGCTGCCCAGAACGCTGGTCTTTTCGATGACGAGATTGCCCCCATTGAACTTCCTGGCTTCAGGGGTAAGCCTGGCGTGACTGTGTCCCAGGATGATGAGCCGAAGAACGTGAGCGATCCCGTTTCTCTTTCATTCAGGTGCCATATCTTGTATGTCTAGCTGACAGGTTTGATTTAGCTCAACCCCGACAAGCTCCGAGGCATCAAGCCTGCTTTCATCCCTGGTTCTGGAACCGTGACGGCTCCTAACTCCTCTCCTTTGAATGACGGTGCTGCTGCTGTTGTCCTTGTTTCCGAGGCCAAGTTGAAAGAACTTAACTTGAAGCCTGTTGCCAAGATCCGTGGCTGGGGTGATGCTGCTCAGCAGCCCAGCAAGTTCACCACTGCACCATCACTGGCCATTCCCAAGGCCCTCAAGCATGCAGGCTTGACCCAGGATGACGTTGATGCATTTGAGATCAACGAGGCCTTCAGTGTTGTTGCTCTTGCCAACATGAAGCTGCTCGGTCTCTCTGAAGAGAAGATCAACATCCACGGTGGTGCCGTGGCTCTTGGTCATCCTATTGGTGCTAGTGGTGCCCGTATTGTGGCCACTTTGCTCGGTGTCTTGAAGGCAAAGCAGAGCAAGATTGGCTGCGTTGGTATCTGCAATGGCGGTGGTGGTGCAAGTGCTATTGTTGTTGAATCTCTTCTCTAGACGCAAAAGACGACTGGTCCATGAAAAGACATTGCCTGGTATCAGCATAAGATTTTAGGCAGAACATAATGAAGGACAGAGTATAATGGGATGATAATTCATGATATGAACAGGTGCATGAACTTACTTTTGACCAAACCATCATATTTTACAGGGGTTTCATTTAATACTATCCTAGTTCAGAGTCTTAAAAGTTCCCTGAGCTTTTCTGCATAATCTTTCATCCAAGGACTCCATGCCTCTTGAATGTAAATAGTGTTGGAAAGCATTGTCCAAGTCACGGAATAACCTGTTTGTATACACAGACATGGAAGGCGCTCAAATAAGCCCAAACAGCCAATTTAATAAAGCAAGTATTATCATCCAAGTAGACTCATACACACACAGAGGGGAAGGTAAATTGTTCTATTCAAAAGAGGCTAATAAAGCAATGAAGATAGGTCGAACTGTCTGACCAACTATCCTTACGCAAAAGCACCAACTAACGCCATCAATAAAGCTCCACTTGCAACTGCAATGCAAGCTTCAATGCGCCGCTTGCCTCTCAGAGTTTCGTAGCTTGACTCGCTTAGGAAATCTTCAGCGAGAAGTTCTACCAAGCCAGCAAAAAGCAAGAGACCGCTGCTGATTGCATTCGTTATACCCACCATGAGTAGACCTGCTGTACTCGCGGGATCGTAGAGATTATGCATAAACAACCCGATAGCTTGGCCAATGGGAGTCGTGGTCCCGTACGCGAGACACATAAGCCATGGTTTCATGGAGGTTGGCGAAAACAGATCTGGAATAAGCGAGGCAATGCGTGACCCAAGAGCGAATCCTTCAAAGGTTTGGTGGAAAGAAATGGCGACGAGGAGCACGACGAACGAAGCCCCCGTAGCGACGCTGACTGCCATTCCAATAAAGATGCTGTGGAAGAGGATGCCTGCCTCGAGTAGAAGACATTGTAGCAACTGTCGCTGCGCATTCGGATTAGGGAGCCCAGGATCTGTCTGCCGACGGTGTACTGGTAGAACAGGGCGATGAGATTCACTTCCATTAAGCATGGAGTCTCCATCTGCGTAAGGTTCAAGCTCTTCGAGACCGGCATCCTCGTTTTCCTTGTCCGGCTCCATGTCCTTCATACGTTGGCGGTGGTCACCGGATATTCTTGATGCTGACCCAGGTGCTGTTTGTTGACGATTGGCCGCTGGCATGCTCCCAAGATGTATATCGTCAGCTCCATCTTGCCAATTGACTCGTGAGTAGCCAGACCCGTCATTTTCAAGCCCACTAGGATCGTCATGCTCCACTTCGTTGATCAGATTATCATAGCCGCTTGCATGCACGTGCCCTGCCCCTTTCATGGCGAAAAACATTTCCACGCAAACGACAACAAATACCGAGATCATAGCAACAAATCCAGCCATGGCTCGATAGCTCTTGCTCCAAAATCTAGGAAGGCAGGGGTCTGTAAGAGAAACGAACGCCGTAGGTAGCAAATGGACAAAGGCTGTAGCGATCAGGACACCAGTCCCGAAATGTCTTGAGATGAAGAGGAAGCGGCGTGGTATTGGAAGACGGGGAAATCGGCGGGCTAGGACAGGGAACGAGCATGCTATGTGCCATCACGAGTCAGTCACGGTTTTCTTCTGTATATAAAGACTTATATACCTAATGTGCTTAACACGAGGATAAGAAATAGCGCCATTACATGCGCCGGTGTGTTGTAAGCACCGCTTCTTGTCGAGCCACATGTTGCTTTTTCAGCGTCCTCGTCCCTGACCTCGTTTCGCCGGGCAAGTTCAGCTCTCAGAATAGCGGCAGGGATATCTGAAATTGAGGAAAAACTGCGTGAAACAACTGTGCGATATTTAAAATCAGCAAAGCCAATGAAGACGATATATCGCAGCATCGCAATATAGCGGTACCATGTTCATGATATCCGACAATGGACGGCCGTACGGATGCAATACTGCTGGGTACTCACCAGGTATCCCCGGGTCTGATTCCAGTGATCCAGTGTCCATATTTTTAATGCTTTGTATAACCTCAGACTCTCATCCCTCCATGACCTGAATGCACGCTCCTAGCTCTGCAAAGTTCCGTAATGCCCCAGCTGCTCGAGCAAGCTGCCCCCGGAGTTGCTGCGGTGCCTAGAAGTTGAAACGCGAGGTGCAATTGATTATATCCGGAGCACCTTCGAAGCCCAATTCGAGAAATGGGGGAATTCGTACGAGGTCTTGGTGATGTCTTCCCTCGAAGGAGGGGGTTTACCGCAATCCGCGGAAGTGATTCGGACACGCGTTAAAAGCAGAGAGCTGATAATCTTATCGATCAATTTACTACAACCAATCTCCTGCTTAGTAACACGACCATCGTCAAAATGCATGAAATTCATTTATTTCGATGGAATCAAGATAATCATATGCGTTTAACATACATGGATTGCTTTGCTGAGACCCCTGACAAGCAAACGAGCATTAAATTAGAGAAGGTAAGACATATCTCGGACGAGATCCTCAATTCTAATTCTAGGAAAGTACTTATATAGAACTCTATACCTAGATAGGCTATGAACAACACTCCGAGGATGGTCCTAGTGTTATTATATAGTACAGTATGGCTGAGTGACACTTAGCTTGCTATCTGTTTCGCAGTTTAGTCCATCCACTGGTCCCTTTTGATCGACCGGTACTTGTTGGCTCGTTCGCGGATTCCGGTTTGGCATCTTCGTTTCTTGATATGCCTGCACCAGTAAGTGTTGTATGAGTGCTGTCATTCCTTTCGGGCCCTAGACCACGCCCATGACTCTGCTCGACAGGGACACGGGTTTCTTGTAAAGGCTGAGGCGGTTCTTGAACCTCATCGTCCCATTCCTTCTCGAGTAATTCCCATTCGGCACTTGCCATTTCTCCGAGCAGCGTCGATTTCAATTTGTCCACTACCTTTGTCGGAGTTGGTAACTTCCACATTCGCATGAATTCTGTGCCTTCTGAAGCGCCCAAGAACGAATGAGCAGTTCCATGGGAATAATGACCCAGCATAGAGAACGTCTTCGTTCGTTGAATAGTGGTTTTCGGAGAATCTTTGGAAGCCCGCGACTTCGATGGTATGTCACGGCTGGCATATGCCTTCATTAGGGTCGATGCTTGCATGGGAGGAGCAACCAATAGTTGCCAAATATTCTTTCCAATGTCGCATACTTCTTCCCATGAGTCCGAAGTCAGATTTAATCCTTGAGTCCGACACAGCCAAGAAACATTCCAAGCCAAAAGTGTGGCCCCTTCCAAGAAGAGAGCATATGTTCTAGGGTCCTCTCGCGCTAGCTTTGGCAGACTTCTATCAATAAACAAAGGTCGAGGCCGGGGCGCGTAGTGTTGTGGATCTGGCGTTCGCGAAGCTGCCGGGCCGGACGATGATGACTGAGCGGGCGAGCCTGAAGGCAGTTCTCGGGGTAGATAGGATCTTGCAGGCGCATAAATTGTAGCCGTTGGATAATCTCTATGCGGGAGAGTTATTTCTGCCGGAAGTCTCAGGGACAAATAATGTGAGATAAGGACAAGGAGATGGGCAATATTAGAAAAGGATGTGGATATGTGAGCTGCTGTGGCGCCTGTAGTAATAATTAGTTTCAAGTGAGCAGGATCAAAATAAAGGGCCTCAACTTTCCATTCATATCTCGCAAGTCTATGAGAGGCATACCGCCAAGCACGTAGGTCTCTTTGCTATCCCCATTAATCCTCTTGCTTTTCTGCCGCAATCCATAGATATTAGCAGCCTCCCGGCAGAGGAATATCCGTGCATCTGTTGTCTTGGTGTGCAAAGTGTGCCAGAGGTGTTCCGTCCTTCTGGTATTGTTTTGTATTGCGGTCAGCATGGCGGCTTCACGCTCCAGAAGTTGATACTTCGCAGATTCAGTGTCAGAGTTTCGCCGTGCCAGGGTGAGTCTGCGCTGAGATATATCAAGCTTTTTATAGTTCATTTCAGCGACCAAAGCTTCAACCCGGTCCCTAAGCGCTTTTGTCCTTGCGGATGAATTTGCTTGTTTGTTGGCAATAGCCTGGACGGTCCAGCGACTATGACCCTGAGTAGCTGATTTGGGGACCACTCCATCAGTTTCTCTATGTGCGACAGCATCTTCGATTTGTTTCCCTATGGCTTCCTTTTCTAAGAGGACTTTCGCATGTTCGACTCGCAGTTGGTATAGATGGGAGCGGGCACATGTTGCGCAACAGAAAGGCAGCCGTGGATTCGGAGCACGAGAGCATACGTGGCAACTCATCGCAAGCGTTCGTGTTTTTCTCAGATGTTGGATATTACGCCAGAATCTCGCAGCCCCATGGTCCTCTGGCGGTTGATCAAGAGCAGTTCAAACTGTCCAGTCCGACAACGATGTACACCGACGAAACTAACGATATGGAAACAAGGGTTCTTCATGACTTGGCTTCGACAGGGAGGATCATATATTGTGATATTTAACGACGCGAATACCGGACAGGCACTTTCATGGTATGAGTGAATACCGTAGTAGAGAGTAAATGTAGGAGGGCCGATCGACGGCCGGCCGATTGCCTACGGTCAGATAACGTCACCTGACATTGCGACAGGCACAACGGCCCGATTGGTTGGTCCTTAGAGATCACTATGGGCAGTGATGCAGCCTCAAGCCTCCAAGGCCAAAGACCAGTGATTCAATCGGTCGCTACTACGGACTAGAACTTCCTGTCTTTATATCGTTCAACGTTTTTTCCTCCCCCGCATCTTCGCGCATACCTCGGATATATTAGAGTTCATATTCCAAAGCCCAAAATCACGTATAAGCAATTATGGATTCTGCTGGCAGAGAAAATGAGGGCACTATCTCCCGCAATGATTTGTATTCATCAAAACTGGCATCGCAAAATAGCAGCGCTGGTCAGCACGTGGACTCACAACAACAAAAACAGCAGTTGACCGAAGAGCTCAGAGACTCTGATTGGGAACAGCTGGAGGAAAAATACGCAAAAGCCATGGAAGAACATGGTAAATCTGAAGAGGAATTGCAAGCCCAAGTCGCGAAATTGCTGGAGGTAATCCTATTATGCTCGTATCCTCAAGGCTATGTTATTGATTGCTCCATGGCAGGTCTTTGTAGCATGGTCCCAAACCACTGTTTTACGCGACGAGGACAGAGCCTTGAAAAGGTTGATCAGCACAAGGTGTCTGTACAGATGAAGAATAGCCCTGGCTAACTTTACTTTATAGGTTCAAGACACAAATGCAGCACGTGCAGAACTCTGAAGAAAGATTGGAAAACAAAAGGAAGCATTGTAGGATTTGCCAACCTATATTTTAAGAGGAATGTAGGGGTACTGACTTAACTCGTATAGATACTGACGTGGTAAAAGCGTTTGAGAGCGCTCTTGCATTGTTGAACGGTCGTGCGAGGCCCTAAATACCACGCAGGTTCTGCTGGGACAAGGGATAATGACCCATCGTCTCATTTCCATTAGGGTCTGGGGTATGGATGAGCCAGAGACACTTGATACCCAGGTTGTGTTGTTGCGGAAGACAGCAGCCGACTCTTCCGATTTTACATACATGCTCGGACAATGGCAAGCAGAGACCTGTATGGTGACAACGTAGATGACAGCATTTTCTATGAACCCATGTGTGTGCATGCCATGTTGTGGGAACTGAAAAACATACAATGAATTGCCATGAAATCTTCATATAGTCAAGCATGAAATAGTAACATATTCATACAGAACATTCCCACCAAAGAAACGCCGGTTTACCGAACAGAAAATTAAGCACTACGCCTTATCGCCTATCGTTTCTCCTAGTAGCTCTGCCCGTGACATCCTGCCAGGTGGCATCGAAACGTCTTCCGGTGCTCGCCAAAAGACCTTCCTCTTCGGCCTCCTCTGCATCCTCGTCGAGCTGGCGCTCGTCCAACTTGGGGGAGCGGAACATTGAAGTGACAAAGACGATGAGATAAATACCTGGCAGCGCGCGATATGAGTACAGTTCGAGTGCGGGAAGGCATAACGCTTACCAAGAAAAATGAATTGAGCCCAGAAGAATACGATGCCAAAGAAGGGGAAATTTATCGTTACTCGGTTGAGGAATGTACTGGCCACGCTGGGTGTACATACCCGTTTCGCAGCCGAATTATTTGCCAGCTCCGAGCATGGTTTGATGAGATGCTTGCTGCTAGAACAATCGGGTTGTCCATCGAGGAGCCCAGGATGGCGATCGCAGAATGTTTGCGGCCCAAACGTGGCGTATTGAGGGGCAACCACCATGGACAAAGAATAGTTCAGAGCCAGGGCAGTCAGCATTAACATAGCCGTCGCCAAGAGTAGCGCCTGCGGAGAGGTATGGCCCTTTCTAATCTGGAAGATCCTAATCCAAAGGAACCGAATGCCAATAGAAGCAATGCCAATGACGGAGCTGCTGAAGAATAGCAACGCAAGGATAGTGAAAATGACATAGTCGACTGGGAATACCTTGGCAGATTGCACGAAAATCCAGTTGACTGGGTTGAAGACATTGATGTGCCCAAGAATATACCCACAGCGGTGCTTGCAGACTGAATTTTTAGCCTTGTCAATTGCCGTCAGTGCCATTGATACCCAGGTTGCGAATGCTATCAGTAGCAAGAGAAAACCACCCAGCAATTTAACTGGGCGGAAGACAGCTTCGATTCTGATCCATGCCTTCATTAGCCAGCTTCGACCTTCTCCCCGGGCCTCTTCCACAAGCCGTTGTCTTCGAATCAAAGTCCTTTCTTCGCGCACGAGCGTATCCAACTCTCTGCGATCCTTCGAAGACAGGATATCAGGATTTCCTCCACATCGACCTTCTAGCTGGCGTTGCCGTTCTCGATTGCTGTCAAGCTGCATGCCGGTGGTCGCTTTTAGGTTCGGACTCGAAACCGAAGGGGCTGTTTTGATCAAACTGATGGGGAGGAGAGCAAGGCCCGACGAAGTATACACGACGTATAGACATAAACCGATCGTCGTCAACAACCCGAGAGTAAATGTAAGCGCACGCTCTCCATCTAATAATAGATTAGATCTGTTAGACAAATATACCTATTCAACGAGTTCTGGGACACTTACGATTCTCGGTCAACAGCTTCTTGAAATAGTCCAAGTCTTGACCGTCTCTTTTCTTCGAAACAGGAACAAAGAAGCCAACGAGGAACAATATAACTATGATTGCCATAAAGCATATAGTATATTTGAAAGCACTCCAAAAGCGCTTCCAAATAGTTTGTTCTCCGGATTCGGTAGCGACCTCGTCATATTCTTCGTAGAAGAAGTAGGTGAAAGGAATCACGAGCAGACAAAGGACGGCGTCCAAGGAGTAGAGTAGATAGTATACTATCGTCAAGGAATAAGTTATTCTGTCCACCACATCCTGAGAAGCCCAGTCTTTGCGCCGACCCAAGGCTGAAGAAGTCGTGGATGAAACCAAAGCGACATCAATGGGCAGCAGGAAAACAGTCGCCAACAGAGTGGTGATGGCAAAGATGCAAGTCAATGTCACCGAGGGGGAGCGATCGCGAGGCGTTTGATACACATAGATGAAGATGGAGGCTACTGCTATCAGTATAGTTATCACAATGGCGTATACGACCCAAATGAGGGACGTTTGTAAAAGGGCCATGTTGAAGTCCTCAGGACCTGTAAGTGGCTGCAATCAAGCAATTGACATTTGCGACAAATAGACCGGACGAAAATAGGATCGGGACCAGAAGCAAACGGCAACTATGAAGCCGGAGTCTCAAGCATATTACGTCATCGCAACGCGAATCGGCCAGTACGGTCACGTGTAAAGCTCCGGTCATTCGGCGTCCGCGTTTTCAAGAGCTCCATCCATGGGAGCCAAGATGCGCCCAATTGATTTTATTTTTTGATTTATATTCTTTTAAATTCAACCTTGTTCCAATCTCTGCTTTGTTTCTGCCCTCTATAAACCGGAAATGGTTGTGTTTGTTCGTGGCAGCTGAGGGAATGGTCTAAGAAGTTTCCCAACCAAATTCGATTGTTGATAAACCATGCAGTGCTATACTGAGCTGTTGCCCCCGACGGGGGTCACACATGCCTTGACGGTACCCTTCCTTTCTGCTACTGCAACTAACCTGGTGGTTGTGAGGACATCGCTTCTTCAAATTTTCTCTCTGCTCAAAATTGCTCGACCGGAAGGTGGAATTAACGGTGACGGGTCAACAAGACCAGAGCAATCCGAGACCACGAAACTGATCCTTGAGAAGGAATGTCCTATTTCCGGAACAGTGACTGATCTTAGCCGAGTCAAGATTCTGAACTCCAAAAGTGGCGGAGAGGCCATTTTAATTGCGTTTCGAAATGCAAAATTAAGCTTGATTGAATGGGATCAGGAGCGCCATAACATCTCTACCATTTCCATCCACTATTATGAACGGGATGATTTGACCCGTAGTCCCTGGGTGCCTGATTTGGGCAGTTGTGGCAGCAGTCTCAGTGTGGATCCGAGCAGTAGTTGTGCAGTGTTCAATTTTGGAATTCGGAACCTTGCCATTCTACCTTTCCATCAACCCGGAGATGACTTGGTAATGGACGATTATGACTCAGGCGACGAGGGGAGAAACCATGCTGCTGATGCCGAAAAGACCAAGAATGGCATGACCTACCAGACCCCATATGCTTCGTCTTTTGTCTTGCCCGTGGCCGCGTTGGACCCTTCCTTACTCCATCCAATAAGTTTCGCCTTTTTATATGAATATAGGGAGCCGACTTTTGGTATTTTGTATTCTCAGGTTTCAACCTCAACCGCGCTTCACCATGAAAGGAAGGATGCTGTTTTCTATACTGTTTTCACGCTAGATTTGGAACAGCGAGCGTCCACAACGTTGCTCTCGGTCTCCAGACTACCTAGTGATCTCTTCAAAGTGGTAGCTCTCCCACCACCTGTCGGGGGTGCTTTGCTCATTGGCTCCAACGAGCTAGTGCATGTTGACCAGGCAGGCAAAACAAACGCAGTTGGGGTCAATGAGTTCTCTAGGCAGGTTTCGGCCTTTTCAATGGCCGATCAATCAGATCTGGCTCTTCGCCTCGAAGGGTGCACAGTTGAACGTCTTGCTGATAATAACGGTGATTTATTAATGGTGCTTTCCAACGGTGATTTTGTTTTGGTCAATTTTAGGCTTGATGGAAGGTCGGTCTCTGGCATTTCGGTGCAACCTCTACCTGCCACCGCAGGCGGGAATATTATGAAGTCACCTCCGTCATGTTCCGTTTTCCTTGGAGATGGGAGACTATTCGTCGGTAGCGAGGATGCGGATTCGTTGCTTGTGAGCTGTTCCAATCCAGTCTCTGGCGCCAAGAAACCGCGGTCACAGCTCAAGCATGATGTGGACGATTTTGACGGTCTCTCGGATGAGGATCAAAGCGAAGATGACGCCTACGAAGATGATCTATATTCATCAGCGCCTGATATGCCTGCCGACGGGCGTCGTGCATCTACCGAGACATCGCCATTTGGGCCATACAGTCTCCGAGTAGACGACAGATTGCCCAACATCGGTCCACTGAGAGATGTGACTTTAGGTAAATCCTTCTCGAACGTGACGAGCAAGGATCCCAATGCCGAGGGTGTCTCTTCAGAGCTTGAACTCGTGGCCACTCAAGGCTCTGACAGAAATGGCAGTCTGGTGGTTATGAAACGCGCGATTGATCCTCATGTCATTACATCCATGGAGGTTGACTCGGCCGACAATGTCTGGGCAGCATCTGTGGCCCACAGAAGAACGGCACTGACCAGCGCTACCGACAAAACGGATAAGAAAGAGATCCGCCATTATGTGATCATTCCGAAAATCAAGGATTCCGACAAAGAAGAGTCGGAAGTATTTGTTGTGGATGGAAGTGACTTGAAATCTTTCGAAGCTCCCGAATTCAACCCGAATGGGGATTTCACAATCGATGTTGGCGTGTTGGCAGAAAAGACTCGGGTAGTCCAGGTTCTAAGAAACGAAGTGAGAAGCTATGATCTTGGTGAGTGATGTAGTTGTACTAATGGAAAAAAGAAGTGTGACAGTGACGCTAATGAAGGATGGTTTATTAGACTTGGGTTTAGCCCAGATTTACCCCGTATGGGATGAAGACACCAGCGAGGAACGAATGGCAGTGAGCACCAGCCTTGCAGACCCGTACCTTGCGATTCTTCGGGATGATTCGACGTTACTGCTTCTCCAAGCAGATGACAGTGGAGACCTTGACGAATTACCGATTAATGAAACCGTTACTTCGATAAAATGGTTTTCATGCTGTCTGTACCGAGATACTAACAAGGTCTTTTCCTTTTCCGAATCAACTCCTGATGGCTCTAACGAGAGCGACATTCTTCTCTTTCTGCTTAGCTCAGATGGAAATTTATTTGTAAGTACCGGAAACGCAAATTCTTAGTCTTGTACTTACAATTCCGAATTGCAGATTTTCCGACTTCCTGACCAAAAGCTGCTGTCAACAATCGACGGGGTTGATTGCTTGCAGTCGATTCTCTCAATTGACCCACCAAAACGATCGGCTACGCGTGAGAAGCTAGTCGAGGCCGTTGTCGCGGACCTCGGAGATTCATATAGTAGCCAGCCGTATTTGATCGTATGCATTTACCTTGAATCCGTTCAATCCCTTCTTACATGAAACTGACATGGCCCCAGGTGCGAACCGAGAACGACGACCTTTTCATATACAGGCCATACTTAGCCCCAGGCACAACGGACGGAGAGCCGTTTAGTTTGCGTTTCTTTAGGGAGGCGAACCATTTTCTACCAGAGGTCCCTTCCAGTTTGGATGCGGACAATTCGAATGTGGGCTTTCAAGGGACTAAACCATTGCGTATATTGCCCAATGTGTCGGGGTTACGTGCCGTCTTCATGCCAGGTGCATCAGCAGGTTTTGTTGTCAAGACACCTACATGTGTGCCTCATGTCATACGCCTAAGGGGGGACTATGTACGCGGTCTAAGTAGCTTTGACTCGTTTGCTCTTGGATGCATTGACGGCTTTGTTTATGTGGATTCAAATGTATTTTCCTCTTCCTTTTCTGGGGCATACGCGCTGATCAAACTTGCAGGATGTCATTCGAGCATGTCAATTGCCTAAAGATACTCAATTCGACTATTCGTGGACATTGCGAAAGGTTCACATAGGGGAGAATGTCGACCATGTGGCTTATTCTTCTTCGTCCGAAACATATGTACTTGGGACTAGCCACAAGGCCGAATTCAAGTTACCTGAAGATGACGAGCTCCATACTGAATGGCGTAATGAAGGTCAGTCTGGAACCACACATGGTGAGAAATAAGCTAATGCATCCTAGTTATCTCGTTTCTGCCCGAGGTGGACCAAAGCTCGCTCAAAGTCGTCAGTCCAAAAACATGGTCTGTCATTGATAGGTATGAGACCATAGCGATTGAGAATTTATTACTATATACACATATATTAACTTGCTTTGTAGCTATCCTTTGGGCCCTGCCGAGCATGTGATGGCGGTCAAGAACATAAATCTCGAGGTTTCGGAGAACACGCACGAGCGCAAGGACATGATCGTTGTCGGAACAGCCATTGCCCGAGGCGAAGACATACCCGCGCGCGGTTGCATATACGTGTTCGAGGTTATCAAAGTGGTTCCGGACCCGGAGAAGGAGGAAACAGACCGCAAACTGAAACTCATAGGCAAGGAACCAGTTCGAGGCGCTGTGACGGCGTTGTCTGGGATTGGCGGACAGGGCTTTCTCATTGCCGCACAGGGGCAGAAGTGCATGGTTAGGGGTCTTAAGGAAGACGGCAGCCTTCTCCCCGTTGCATTCATGGATATGCAATGCTATGTCAACGTGGTCAAGGAACTCAAAGGCACTGGAATGTGTATACTGAGTGACGCCGTGAAGGGGACCTGGTTTGCGGGCTACTCGGTATGCGCCTTACGATTTCCAAGATGGAACATAGACTGATAATTTATACAGGAGGAACCATATAAGATGAGTCTGTTCGGCAAAGACCCAGAATATCTCGAGGTCGTCGCTGCAGATTTCCTCCCAGAAGGCGACAAACTATTCATTCTAGTCGCCGATAGCGACTGCAACCTTCACGTCCTGCAATATGACCCAGAGGGTAAGCTTTTCCCATCCCACTTTTCTTTCTCAATTCCGCCAAGACACCAAACTAACCCAAAACAGACCCCAAATCATCCAACGGCGACCGCCTCCTAAGCCGCAGCAAATTCCACCTCGGCCACTACGCAACCACTCTAACCCTCCTCCCCCGAACCGCCGTCTCCTCCGAACAAGCCCTCCTCCAACCCGACGAGATGGACATCGACGAAGTTCACACCGCGAACCACCAGGTCCTCGTCACGACGCAGAACGGCTCCGTGGGTCTCATCACGCCCGTTGCGGAGGAATCGTACCGTCGTCTCTCGGCACTGCAGTCCCAGCTCACTAATACCATCGAACATCCTTGTGGATTGAATCCTCGTGCGTTCCGGGCGATTGAGAGTGACGGGGCTGCGGGGCGGGGAATGGTTGATGGTAGTCTGCTGTGTCAGTGGTTGGATCTGGGCAAACAGCGTAAGACTGAGATTGCCACTAGAGTGGGTGCGAATGAGTGGGAGATCAGGGCAGATCTAGAGGCTATAAGTGGTAGCGGGCTTGGATATTTGTGATTCTTTTTACCATTTAGTAATTGAAAAAGGAGCCGAAAGAGTATAATTTGGATAGACTTGTGTGCTAATGTTATATCCATTTGCTATTATGATGATTATTAGTATATGTAGAAATGATGTTTGTCGACATGATCGACAATATCTGAAAAGATATCTATCCTAAAAAGTAGATCCTTGAGATAAGGTTCTATAAAATGAAGCAGAGACTTCGGTCAAATGTCCCAGACAAACCAGCCGAATAAGAGAAAGAGGAAGAGAAAAAGAGGAGCGGACTGTTACCTCACTCCGATACCCTAAGGGTGAGATATCCATAACCAAAACTCCGGGGTAGTGAAGAAAATAATGACGAAAGAAACCAAATATAAACGCCTAAACCCACCGACCCAAATATATAACCCGGACGTATATTCCAACAATGCAACCCAGACTAGTAAACTTATTTTCCTTTCCTTTTTCTCTTTTTATAAATAACACACCTCTTTAATAAACATCCTCTGCAAAATACCGCTTGCTTCGACCCCGGGCTGTGACAAACTTGGTCTCCGGCATTGTGGTATGATGTACCACATGGGGCCGGTATACTGCATCAACAGGTGTTTGCCAATCATCTAAACCCAGGGGAAAGTACTCATAAAGTAAGTCGGCATTATCATTGGGGAAGGGCAACGAGGATGTGAATGGCTGTTGTAGATTTGTGGTATTCAGGAGGGGTAGTGATGAATTGACATTCTGGGGCTCTGTCCGCGAAACATCATGGGACAGTTTTCGCATCTTTGCAGGAGGGACAGAGTTATCCCAGGTGAGGTCTTTGTGCGATAGGTCATTGCTGGAATATGATGACACGGTTGTAGGGGGATCATTGGGATCGAGTGTGTGACTATCTTCATCCTCCAATATTGATAGATTGATGGGGGCTGCAATTGAATGGGCACGCTGTTGTTGTATTTGTGTGCCCTGGGGAAAGTCCGGACTCGGTTGCGATTGATAAAGAGATGGTATTTGAGCGGGTAACGACCCAGTACTACTTCGTGCTGTCTGCGGCATTCTGGCCCAGTCGGGAGGAGATGCCTGCTGCTGCACTACACCTGCGGAGGCCACTGAAATTGATGTATCCGGAGAATTACTTTTGACGGTGGACCTGTTATTGGTCGTTCTAGCTGGCGTCATACTAGCACGGGGTGTCGATTCACTGGTTGGGGTACGATTGATGGCGCTCGAAGTTGATGCTGCATGGGTGTGCTTCCGTGATGCAGCAGCGCTACCACTCAGAGGCAAATCTTTGCGGGACTGGAAATTGCGCGGGCTGCGACCTCGAACGATGACGGGGGCCGAGTGAATCTCGCTGATGGGGATCTTGGCGCCAGTGGACAAGGTTGCGACGACCTTGAGACGGACGACAAAGTGTTGTTGCAGCTCTTTCCGGCGACCATTGTTGGCGGTTGCGACGCGGAATTGCAGACGCTTCCATGCAATGGGGAAGGTGGCATAGTCGGTGTCCATGTCCTGACCAGCCATGATGTCCAAGGGGATCGGGGGCGGTTCCTTTTCGACTTTGGGCGGGGGATTCTCTTCGACAACGGGAGCAGGAGGGTTGCCACTTCCATTGTTGCTATTGGCAGCGGGGGTCTTCCAAGGCACGGAGATGATCTTAACGGAATTGCCCTCGACAGACTCCGTGGCTGACACGGTGAGTTCCTGAGCAAGGATGGGTATCCGGTCTCCCTGATCGGTCATAATGTAGCGCAAACTGCGGGGCAACGTGACGGAACCGGTTATCTGGAACAGATTGCGGCGGTAGCATGTCAATTCTGCACCCTGCTGGGGTGGCGCGTGCTCTGCGGGAGAGGTGGTCCAAGGCGATTCCGCAAGGAAGAACATGCCATGCAACTGAGCGGACATGGATATCGAGGTCCTGCGAAGGGAATAGTCGAGCAGGGTGAAGTTGAAGACGGGGACAGAAAAGCTCAGTAGCTTATTGTTATGATCGATTGACGAATCCGGGGGTGGGGGCTGCTCGGGCGGGACCTGTTCAAACGAGGAGACCATGTCGGTTGTCGCAAAGGGATCCTCATAGCCGGAGGGGAAGTGTTTCAATGGTGCGGATAAGCCATGTTGAGAGGAGAAGGCCATAGGGTCATCGCCACTGGTCGCCCCAAGGTCTCAGTACAATGTTCCCTTCATTATAAGAAGGAGGAAAAAACGTACCTGACAAACGTCTCCGAATCAAAATTGGAGGGTTGATCAGGAAGATCCATACCCGGGACGGAGCTGAGATAGTCCACACCTTGGAGATTGCCGAGCGATAAGGGACTGGCCAAGTAGGGCATGGCCATGGTATCGAAACCCTCCATGATAAGAGAGGCAGTGATTTGATCGGACCAGACGGAGAGAGAGGAAAAGAGGGGAAGAGAAGAATGAGGAGGAGGAACAGAGAGGGATACCCGTCGGTCAATTGGCGGAGAGCAACACCGCGCAGGGACAGTAGGAGGGGAGGAGAGGGAAAGGGGAGAAGAGAGGAAAGAAAGAGAGAAGAGAAGAAGAAAAGAAAAAGGTCAAGTAAAAGAAAAGAACGAATGACAGCGAAGAGGAGAAAACAAGAACAGAAGAGGGAAAGGGTTCGAGAGAGAGAGAGAGAGAGAGAGAGAGAGAGAGAGAGAGAGAAAAGGCTGAAGATACGATCGCAACGCGCAGAAACGACCGAAAAGAGCGAGAGACGCAATGATGCAAACAGGATCAGAGCGAGAAAGTGGGAACAACCATTGCGGAAGTTTTGAATTGAATCTCTTTTTTTCTGGTGAGAGAAGAAAAGTGTGGAGAGGCGAAGAATTGAGAGATTGAGAATGGAGAGCGGAGAACAGTAAGTAAGTATTACCAAGTCCAAGAAACACCGCAGACGGAACAATAAAATGCCTTTTGTTATTATTTTATATACTGTGCTGTATGATTTTAAATACTGAGTTGAAAAGTCACATGTCTTGGTACATTTTACATAGTAGTAAGTCTATACTTGTACATACAGCTGTCTGCTGTTAGTGTCCGTCGCGGGTCTGTCGATCGATCTGCGACTTTTTGGCCTGTTGTTATGTACTATTACTCTGCTCTCTTTCTTTACAAGTAATAATAGTGTATGTATATCTTCCAATTAGTACTGTTGAAACAGTATTCTACCAGGACATTGCAACTGAACGAGAATGGTAATACAGTAAACGCTTCTGAATCAGGCAAGGCGGGTCAAGGCTCGTGCGCAGACCCCACCGAAACCCGGGGAACAGAGTCTCTTTTTTCTCCGAATTCGTATGCTTACAGAGTACAAAATTACAGGATATGGAGTCTTGTCAATAGAGTACTTGTATAATGATAGAAATGTCGATACATCTTGAGCTATCCATGCCATACAGTAGGTTTGACAGCCGTGATACTGAAGGTACCGTACCGTACCGTACATAACCGTACCAACCCGTCCCACGGGCCGCCAGTCACCGGCCAGACCCCGCTCAGCCCTCCAGGGGTACTAGTCCTGATCCGGTCATGTCTCACAGTTTGACCATCAAGTAGAACAGAAGAGTAGAACAAGGAACGAGAAGAAAAGACTTGACTACTCCATACAGTAGTTGAACCAGAGATACTGGTCAATAGTCTGCGTTCATCACAATATCACTTTTGTCCAGAAGTGTCCGCAAGCAGTCACAGTGCTCCACCTGCCGCCACTTTCCGCCGTGGATCATCCGAGGGCGATCTAGCGCTATACCGTATCTAGTCATCTCCTCCTGTCTGATTGGATGCGTCCAGCTGTGATCGTTCATCTCATATCGTCCAATCGGAACCACTCAGTTAATACTATATACACTAGAACCATACAGTACGGAGTATGTAGTCATTATTATTATGTACCAATGCACAAAGGCAGACACACAATACTATGGATGAGGCCCCATCCATACCGTCGCATCGCAATTCACTTCTTCGAATCGATGCAACATCTCGAATCCCATTCTAGATAGACAATCCAAGTTGCTGTCTCCATTCACCTATTCCCGGTTAGTCCTTATCGTTCCACCCCCCCCCCCCCCCCCCCCCCCCCCCCCCCCCCCCAAAAAAAAAAAGGCAGACCGGAAAGAGAACTCTACTCACACAATCCAAGACAACCGCTTTCGCCCCCTGCTTGCGGCTCTGCTTGATTCCCAGAAATATCAGTCCCTGCAGAACTGTCGCATACTCTCCCACCAATGGGGAAATCACCGGAGACGAGACCCCGCCCGCCAGAACCGGTTGATTCTTCAGTGCCGCCATGTGCGCTGCCAATACCGATCGCGCATTGTAAATGACTACACTGCCAAGCATTTCCCCGTCGTCTGCCCGTAGCGCCCGGATAATTCCGCAGTCCGGTGCGTCTCCCAGAGCCACATGGTAGATGTCCTGCAGCCCTGGCCGCGAGTTCGTCCGTACATGATCCAACACCACATCTGCATAGTCCCATCCATATACCAAATCATACCGCACTGCCGTATGGTTCTGGAGCGTGTCTACAAGCCCGTTTGGCGGTGTCCATGTTGTCGCATTGCGCAGCACCACACTGCACACCGGCCGCGACAGCGCTGTGTTCCAGCCCAAATTTGCAAACCACTGCCGCAGCCGCTTCCGCTCCACTGGGTGTGTGGCCGGGATGCCCAAGTATATCCCAGGAAGTCGCGAGCCTAGCTGGAATCGCTTGATTCCTTTGCATTGGAGTAGCGTGTGAATGGCCCGATGGTGGAGTGATCTCCCGATCGATAGTCTTCGTCGCGATGGGTCCACTATCAATGATCCAATAATACCGGTCCCAGTCGATCGGAAAAAGTACGTCGAGCAAAACCCGTAAAGGGCTTGCGTGCTGCTATTCCTTACCACGAGATGGGCCTCGACCACTTCTGCTCGTCGGAGCAGGAAGCTGTTGGATGTCACTCCCTGCAGCTCCGAATTCTGCGCGCTATCCGCTCGAACAATATCCAGCAAGGCATCTAACGCATGAGCATCTCGTTCTTCGTTCCAATTCTCCACCAGCCAATGCTGTCTCGCCTGATGCAGCTTCTGACTACGGCTGATAGACCCTGGCAGGGATCCGGTTGGTGTCAGTTCCCCGTACAGCACCTGTACCAGTGCCTCCAGCGCCGGCTCCGTAAAGTCGTACGTGCAGACGTAGGTCTCAACTGACCGATCCGTCGCAAAGTCGTACGGGGAACTAGCTGCCACGACCACGAGGGGCTTCTCGCGTGGTTGCCCTGCTTGCGACATCCTGCAGAGCATCGACACGTGCTTTGTGAAGCCATGCTGGTACAGATGTCGATTTGCATCTGCTGTGACAACAATGACCGCACTAGCTCGCTCGATTAGGTTCTCGTGGATAGGACGGACCCCATTGGTTGTGTAGGACGTGTGTAACACCCGACCGTTCCGCTGCCGTGAGAGGGACCGTCCTAGCTCCTTGAAAACGCTTTCGCCACTGAGAACCGAGGCCGTCCGATCCCAGGCAATAGGATCCTCGAGTGACAGACCTAGATGTGCTGCCACAGACCGCGATACAGCCGAGGCGGGTAGCGGCTTCACCAATGGTGTTAGCAACAAGAGTTCCTCGTTCGGATCCAGGATGCCAGATAGCGGCAGCAAATCCCTCTTATCGCGCATCACTGAAATGGAACCGCCATATGCTCTCTTGGCAAGACTCGTATGGCTGGGCTGCATCTGAGTCAGCGAATGCAGCCCTGGCGGGTTCAGCGCCTGCTCCCAGGATGTGCATCGGGCTTTCATTTGCAAAACACGACGAAAGGATTGCTCGATCCGACCGCGGCTGATGATCCCATTCTCGACCCCGAGTTTCAGTCCACTTATGGCTTCTTGTTGCACAGCAAAGGACCGGCAAAGAAGAATAATATCGCAGCCTGCGTTCTTCGCCATCACCGTACCGCCGCCCACGCCGATGTTGTGAGTCAGCGCCTCCATTTCCAGGCATTCTGAGACCACCACTCCACGGAAATCTAGGTCCTTCCTGAGCAAGTCATCTACAACCTGCTCACTCAAACAGGCATGCATGACATTGACCCCTGCGGATGACATGGACACCCCGCCCACCATCATGGAATCCAAGCCGTGGGAAATTGCATTACGAAAGGGAACCAGTGCCGATAAACTGAGCTGATCCAACGTTTCGGTGATGATGGGAACGTCCGCTTGCGACCCCAGGAATTCCAGATTGCCATACGATGGGAAATGCTTGCCGCATGTTGCCAGACCCGCCTCCTGGAAGCCTCTCATGAACTCCGTACCATACTGCGATACCTCTTGCGGGTCATCGCCCGTCGTGCGGACGCCCAGCGGTTGGCTCTTGACATTTGTCAAGACGTCCAGAACTGGGCCCAGGATCCAGTTGACTCCAACGGCTTTGAGCTCTTGCGCTGTCGCGAGGGCCACCTCATGCGCCAAGGCCTGGGAACCCGTCGCCGCGACTCCCATTGCGCTAGGGAACTGTCTGATATAGGTTTCATCATACAGGCTATTAACCCCGCCATTCTCTTGGTCCAGGGCAATTAACAGAGGTACTGGATGACCCGCATTCCGGGCAATGGTTTGCAATTCGAGAACCAGTCGCGTTGCCTCCTCTGCGGCTGTTCACTATTAGTTTGCTTATACTTATGATGGTTAAGAAAAGAAGAGAAAAAGATAATACATTTTAGATTCTTGGCTGATAATAACACAGAACCCAAGTAATGATTCTCAATGAGTGAACGAATCTGAGGATTGACAGAGGTCCCATCAAAGCCCATCATAAAGAGCTGACCCATCTGCCTATAAGGACATGGGAAAGGCCGTAGGCCATAATGACCCTGTCAGCAATGCACACCACCAAGTCTACACAAACAAGATAACGCCAAGAAATCATCGATAAGAGCCCTACCTATCAAGATCCTCCCAACCAGAGGGCAATAACTCCTCATTCGGGGCCATTGTGGCCCTGAATTGGAGAAGCGAGGTATGCCAGCGACAATTGGGGGAAGGGAGGAAGGGGTTGAAACCCTATGTTCCCTCTCCCCCAGACCCTGTCAAAGCCAATCAAACAAACGAAAAGTAGCTAGATAGCTTAGCTTCTAGCTGTTTTCGCGATGGCGTATGGAATTATGGTAACAGGTAGGAGCAGTAGGTTGTAGCGGTGGGGAGGGGCATCAGCCGGATTGGGTGAGGAGAAATGCAGCTGCCATGTGCCATGAGAAACGAGAACCGCAAACGGAAGCCGAGGAATGTGTGTAACTATCCCGAAACCGTTGTCTGACATCCGGGAGATAAGCTATAACTAGCACAAGAAGTCAGCGGCTATCAGGACCGCGCATCGTAGACATCGACAAGATAGTGACAGAGAGATAGATAATCTCAATCCATCGACCGTATCGGGAGAACAATGAGCATGTTTGTCCAGTTTGCTTCCTTTTCTTTGCCTCGGACTAACCACGTGACCATGACCATACTGAAACATGCGGGGATATCATACCGTGTCGTACCATACCGTACCATACGGACCGTTCCATACAACGGTTGCACTTGCCTTGGATCCAACAGCGGCTCCCCAAATGACACTTCGAATGCAACGGTGGAGTCAGGTATCATACTTAGTCATGCAATGCTGATTGCGGGATGACGATGAATATCATCCCGATAATAAAATGGCACCTCCGACTGTAACACTAGATGACAGGTAGAGAATCGGAGGCACAGAAAAGGTAAAGACAGGCACAGGCAAAAGGGGGAGAGAGAATACAAGAGAAGGGGAATGCGTCATATATTCTATGGAACCGGCGAAATTACCAGTAGTAGTATATCACCTGGAGATAGGGCAGACATCTTCGCCACGACCGGAAAAGGAGACCTGCGCACCTGATGGAGATAAAGAAGTTCATTTGCTACTTTTGGATATTGGATTCGTCAGAAACAAGACCTTGGCTATGTCAGTACAGTACTATAGCGTAGAATGAGTCGCATTCGCAAATGTCACTCTTTGGGCGTCTCTCCACCATGACTGCAACGGATCCATGGGTGGTTATGATGGAGGCCTGGACATTTTGTCTTTCTGTCTTTCTCTTTCTTACCCCTCCTCTTATTCTATCTTTTGATTCTTGACTGCTCTTCTTCTCCTATTATTCTTCATCTATATACATATATACACAAACCCAAGGGTTTCTCTTGTACTGCCTTATCGTTTGATCAAGCTTCTTAGTGACGTATTCACGCAGCCCTCAAAATGTATCTCATCCCTCTTCTCGCCGCTTTATTCTACTAGACTAACTGGCTCTAGGAGAGTCATCGTCAGGGAAGATGCTCTGGCAGTGTCAGAATATATCGCAGACTACATCATCAGTATGTATCCCTCTGTTTGCTACTTGATTGCTTTCAAACGTGCAGCTTGCTAATTCAGTTCAGCACGCATCAAGACATTCCAGCCAACCCCGGACCGGCCCTTCGTACTCGGACTCCCTACCGGCAGCAGCCCGGAGATCATATACAATGTCTTGGTGCGCCGCTACACGGCTGGCGACATCTCGTTCAAGAATGTCGTGACGTTCAACATGGTATTGCCTCCCAGACTCTCTGGAAAGAAGCACTTATACTAATGCAAGATAGGATGAATATGTTGGCCTCTCCCGTGAACATCCCGAATCCTACCACAGCTTCATGTACAAGCACTTCTTCTCGCATGTCGACATTCTGCCACAGAACATCAACATCCTGGACGGAAATTCCCCGGACCTAGCCGCAGAATGCGCCTCATTCGAAGACCGTATCGTCAGCTACGGTGGTATTGAACTTTTTATCGGAGGAGTCGGCTCAGACGGTCACATTGCATTCAACGAGCCTGGCTCCTCAATGAGCAGCCGCACGCGTGTCAAGACCCTGACATACGACACCATCTTGGCCAACTCGCGCTTCTTCAATAATGACCTGTCCAAGGTGCCGCGCATGGCCCTGACAGTGGGTATCCAGACCATCATGGACGCGCGCGAAGTTGTCATTGTGGCAACGGGTCCACACAAGGCAGTTGCTCTGGAGAAAGGCCTCGAAGGCCCCGTCAACCACATGTGGACACTGTCTGCATTGCAGCTCCACCGGCACCCGCTCATCGTATGTGACCGGGATGCAACCCTCGAGCTCAAAGTCAAGACTGTCCGGTACTTCGAAGGGATTGAACAGGCCGGCACGGATGCCCGTACCCAGGGCCCGTGGTTGGCTTACAGACCTAAGACACCGATGACCTACGTTCCTCAACAGCAGCCAACCCCGAAGGCAATGCCTACGAAGGTGCCTCAAACCTTGCGCATCAATACGGAGCTTCAGCGATCCTTTGATGATGACGAGTTGACCCCGGATAGCATGTCCTCCCGAATGGTCGACTCGGCCGTAAGTGGACTGGACTCGATGCTCAAGGATGAATTGATTTTTGATCGGATGGGATCCCGCGTAACTACCAACTAATTGCCATTTTTACATGGTTTACCGACCTATAACCCAGTAGAAACTTTAGGATTGCTTTGCTTCCTGTTGTCTCCTTCTTTTCCTCTTTTTTTTTTTTT